ATGGATAGAAGAAGTTTTCTTGGTTAAAATATGACCCATGGAGGGAGGGGTACAATCATGAAAAATCTTATATGCTAATGTTGCCAACTTGACTTTGTACATAAAGTGTAAGGAATCCCATTTGGCAGTCTTAAGTACTTCTGTGGTGGGCATATCTCCCAGATCATTGCTGCGGTCCTCTGAATTAGTTTGAAGTCCTTGGGCGTAACATTACCGCACTTGATGTGGTACTTGAGATCACAAGTGTTGCACGTGAGCGTTCTGTGGTTTTGAGCGATGGTTCTTGAGCACTTGGGACAGCTTTGTTTGTTCGAAGTTGGTCCGGGATTTTCAGCAATATCTCCACTAATAATTAAGCGAGATATTTGAAATGTTGAAGCCGAGTTGGGAAATCGGCTCACTCTGGCTCTTAGATAGCCTTCTACCCGGTAAACTTTGGAATCATGGCGGCAGTTGTTCCACGCTGGGTCGAGAATGAAATATGCCGTTAGCGCTTCCACAGGTTGACCATGCATGCCGAACTTCAGATTAGGCGTTGTAGTGGAGCAAAACCCGTCCTCGAAACTTAATCTTCCAGCGCTGAGAATGATACCCAGGAGCAAAAGAGCAATAACGTGAGAGCTCCGGAAAACGTGGCTGTCCGCCATATTGGTTCGCACTCACTATTACTCTTCGCATCTACTTTAGCGGTAGCGAAATATCAACTCGCCTGGTAAATAATCAAATACATCAAACGAAAATGAATCAACCGAAAATTAAATCTATTAGATTTTTTTGCAGTAATTATAACATCTTGACAATAGTCATAGCATCGATTGAGAATAATCTTTGGTCTCGGTACGACCGAATAAATATAACAATAACATACTTCATAACTTAAAAATATTAGGATCAAGCTTCTCATACTTAAAACATTTAGTTGATCTCAATCGTACCTTGGTTCCTAACCCGGTCAGACAGGTGGAATATGTCAGACAAGTGGAATATGTCAGATTGTCAGTGGAATATTCCAGTGACATTGATTGTCTGACAATCTGACATATTCTACTTCCACTTATTCCACACTATTCCACGCGGATTTCTGCTCATGCGCGCTAGTTTTGTTATGGTATTGACCACGCGGTCCGATGCTAAAGACCGGAAAGGCGTACGTAGATGTTAGCATGAGCAGAAATCCGCGACGCATACGACGCGAATTTTTTTAGCGTGAGAAAATATCAAACAAAGAGTTTCGCACGGGAATATATATATATATATATATATATATTCATATATATATGTAACATTTTACGCCAGTAATATAAATTAATTATATTTTAATTTATTATAATTAAATCACCGACTGGGTTAGTGGCGTAAAATCTTACAGTATATAGACTGTGTTAGTCACATATTACGCCGTTATCTAACTACCGGTTTCGCACTTATGGAGTCCGTCTGAATATTTAAATTGGGCAACCAGTTTTCGTGAGCAAGAAATTGGGGCAAGACCTCAGACCCAAAGAAATCAAGCCATCAATTGTTAATAAGCAGTGTGTTGTTTACAATTTTTCATGTGATCTGTGCGATGCAGATTATGTCGGGTATACAGCCCGACACCTTCATCAACGCATTGCTGAGCACAAAAATTCGGCAATCGGTAGACATTTCTTAGAAGCTCATGGTAACAACAACCTTTTGAGAGAAAGCCAATTCACGGTTTTACGACGTCGCGGATTTCTGCTCATGCTAACCTCTACGTACGCCTTTCCGGGCTCTACCATCGGACCGCGTGGTCAATAACATAACAAAACTAGCGCGCATGAGCAGAAATCCGCGTGGAATAGTGTGGAATAAGTGGAAGTAGAATATGTCAGATTGTCAGACAATCAATGTCACTGGAATATTCCACAGACAATCTGACATATTCCACTTGTCTGACATATTCCACCTGTCTGACCGGGTTAGGAACCAATCAGATTGCAAGATTCGATACCGTGCCCTCTCAAAAAAAAAAAAAAAGATTGAATATGATTGGCCACTATATCTAATATGGTATTTTTGGAAAAGTGAATCTCAAGGAGAAGACATGGTACCACAATAAGGGGGCATGATATTACCAAACAAGTGTCATACAACAACATGATAGCAACGCGTCAAGCTCTCCGTGCGAAATTGTTTTCTTTACTTTCCTCTAGAAGCCATACCTCCGCCAAAGCGATCTCAAGGTTTAGCTCAGGAAATTTATCGAGATGGCGGAGGCTCATTCATCCTCCCAAAAAGAGCTTAAAATTGGTAGTTGTGGTGGGATCAGCCGCTATGGTGTGTGGTGGAATTACCATTTATATGTTTTCAGGTACGATTGAGATCAACTAAATGTTTTAAGTATGAGAAGCTTGATCCTAATATTTTTAAGTTATGAAGTATGTTATTACTGGGATACCTGTAGTAGCCCAGTCATAAAATGCCTTTGTTACTGGGATACCTGTGGTAGCCCAGTCATAAAATGCCTTTGTTTTTTTGTCGTCTTTTAACTGGGATACCTGTGGTTTTTTTTTTTTTTCCTCCGTCACAAAATGGAAAAATTGCGCAATAGTACCCAGAGGTCATTGGGCCCTCAACACCATGACAACTAACTGTGATCCAATGTGATCCAATGAGGGTGAAGATGTTCACATGCTGATCACGTGTTATCTTGATGATGATTGACGTTGCACGTCATGCACGAACAGGTCCAGGTCACATGACGAGCACGAGATTTTCTTTTGTCGGTCGTTTTGTATTTCAGGTAATTTAGTGTTAACAAATGGGTTGAAAACGTAAATTAGCCACCGTAAAGGGTAAAAAAGCTGACGTTTCGAGCGTTAGCCCTTCGTCAGAGCGATAGAAGGCTAAAGCTCGAAACGTCAGCTTTTTTACCCTTTACGGTGACTAATTTACGTTTTCAACCCAGTTGTTAACACTAAATTACCTGCTATACTCTCCCACCGACGCAGCACCACAGTTTCTTTAGAAACTTACCCCTTTATACGTTTTGTATTTCAACGTGTTTGGATTACGATCACCTGAAGCGTTATAGCGCAAATGCTCGAAATACTTACAGACGCATACACAAGTCGTATTGTTAGCGGCCAGTCCACACTAAAAGATGTTATTGAGCAGTAATTTTGGACCGGATTGAGTCGCGAACTGTGTATCCGTTGTAGTTTCTGGTGATTTCTGCCGTTTTAAGCTTGCTTTACCATCACTGTTATTCACATCATCTACTTTTGTTACGTTGGTAAAATCTGTACAGACATCACACAAACCAACTCGCGCACAAAATAAGAAGAGTATATTGAAGGCTTGAAATTATATTACGATCGATTTTCATCAAGAAATGGGCCAGGAATTTTCCACAATAGTGCAAATAATCGTGAAGGCTGATCGAGGAAAAGCGATTGCGTGACGCTCGGTAAGCTGTAAGATGACATGTTATTATTTACCAGACGTAAAAACTCTTCAGATTCTCAGTCTGCATTTTGTACCCACTCTGCAGTCTCCAGTCTATATTTTGTATCCGGTCTGCTGTCTGCATTTTGTACTAACAGGTATCTGTGGCACCAATACAGTTTATTTTTGGTTACATTTATTCGCACAACACACATGATCTACCACAAAATACCTGTGTGTGAGGTAATTCGACATTTTCGTTCTTTTCCACGTTAATACTCTTCTTTCCTTTGGTAAGAATGTAGACCACAAGTAATCCACCCACCCTACAAAAAATAACTCTTGCATGCATAGCATGCCTATGTTTTGAAATAGGTGTATGCCCTTAGCCAGACTTGAGCTCACTATTTCAGTATACTAATCTGACAACCGTAGTATCACTTCACTTGATTCCACGGATCCAGTAACATAGTGAAGAAAGACGGCATGTCGGATTCACTTGATGCCAGGGAACGTAGCTACGATAACAGTGTACAAGGAACGAAATATGGTCGATTTACAACGATAAATATTTCGAAATATAAACATTTTTCTCATAAAATCAATAAAAATTACTCATACCCTGTGTATCCGTTGTAGTTTCTGGCGATTTCTGCCGTTTTAAGCTAGCTTTACCATTACTGTTATTCACGTCATCTACTTTTATTACGTTGGTAAAATCTGTACAGACATCACAACTCGCGCGCAAAGTAAGAAGACTATATTAAAGGCTTGAAATTATATTACGATCGATTTTCATCAAGAAATGGGCCAGGAATTTTCCACAATAGTGCAAATAATGGCGAAGGCTAATCGCGGAAAAGCGATTGCGTGACGCTCGGTAAGCTGTAAGATGACATGTTATTATATACTAGACTTAAAAACTCTTCAGATTCTCCGTCTGCATTTTGTACCCACTCTGCAGTCTGCAGTCTATATTTTGTATCCGGTCTGCAGTCTGCTGTCTGCATTTTGTAGTAACAGGTATCCGTGGCACCAATACAGTTTATTTTTGGTGACATTTATTCGCGCAACACACATAATTTACCACAAAATACCTGTGTGTGAGGTAATTCGACATTTTCGTTCTTTTCCGCGTTAATACTCTTCTTTCCTTTTGTAAGAATGTAGACCACTAACAATGTTTCAAGCAATCCACCCACCCTACAAAAAATAACTCTTGCATGCAGAGTGTTTCCTTACTCGGAACTGATTAGATCAAGTGACCACCACAAACCGTATAATATTAAGCCAAGCTTTAATAATTATTCGATCTAAAAGAAATACATTTATAATTCGCAATTAGAACAAACGCAAATCAAGTCTTTATCTTGTAACTAAATTCAAAAACTTCAATATAAACTTACTTCTGTGGCGGGTCGTTACAACAGTCTCACTTTACGGGTTAGCAGATTCTCCAGGTAAGCGGATTTAGAGACAGAAAAACGATAACAAAATAACTTCTTTCTCACTTCGATTCTGCTGAAAAACTGACTTAAACATAATAATCTAACGCTTTTAAATCAATCTATTGAATTAATGTCAATCACGATTCTTGTCATCGAATAAATCTGTCAACACGAGGCAACGCCTATTTATTAAACGAAACACAGAGCATGCCTGTGTTTTGAAATAGGTGTATGCCCTTGGCCAGACTTGAACTCACTATTTCAGTATACTAGTCCGACACCCATAGTATCACTACACTTGATTCCAAGGATCCAGTACCATCCAGGTATCCCAGTTACCCTGCTCACAGGGTCTAGTTTTTTTGTCGTCTTTTTTTTTTTTCCTCCGCCACAAAATGGAAAAATTGTGCAATAGTACCCAGAGGTCATTGGGACCTCAACACCATGACAACTAACTGTGATCCTATGAGGTGTTCACATACTGATCACGCGTGCTATCTTGATGATGATTGACGTTGTCATGCACGGACAGGGCCGTGTCACATGACGAACATGAGATTTTTGCCCATAAAATTCTTTTGTCAGTCGTTCTGTAATTCAATGTGTTTGGATTACGATCATCTGGAGCATTATAGCGCAAACGCTCAAAATACTTATAGACGCATACACAAGTCGTATTGTTCGCGGCCAATCCACACAAAAAGATGTTATTGAGCGGTAATTTTAGAACGGACTGAATCGCGAACGCTTGAAAGCCATGAAAGCATTGAATGCCTTGTATGTCTTGTATGATAAGTATGCCAATGTCTTAGTTGAAAACGTTAACTCGTTGTAAAAAGCGAAATCCGAAATCTGAAACCAAACTGCATATACTCTATGCAATCTATTGAACAACACTACTACCGTGAGACTGAAGAACAAAATTCAAATGGATGCAAACTGTGAAGAAAGACGCCATTTTGGATTCACTTGATGCCAGGGAACGTAGCTACGATAACAGTGCGTATGGTATTAATTTCACGATCAGAAAGGTGAATCTTATGGTTTTTTTCATTGTACTTGTATGGATATTCTTTTTTAATAAATACATGATCCAAAATCCCGTGTTTTTTGTGTATACTGTTATTATGTTAAGTATTGTTTACGCAATTGTCTTGTCACAGGCGACCCAAGGTCACGTCTCGAGAAAGACCCAACGATTAATTCACGAACGCGTCACGCGTTGTGTGACTCAGAGTCAGTTATGCTAGGAACCGTTGAAAATTTGAACACGTTATAAGGAATAGTATAGGGAACGAAATATGGTCGATTTACAACGATAAATATTTCAAAATATGAAGATTTTTCTCGTAAAATCAATAAAACTTACTCATACCCTGTGTATCCGTTGTAGTTTCTGACGATTGTTGCCGTTTTAAGCTTGCTTTACCATCACTATTATTCACGTCATCTACTTTTATGACATTGGTAAAATCTGTACAGACATCACACCAACCAACTATGTTGATGAATAGGAATTTTCCACAATAGTGCAAACAATCGCGAAGGCTGATCGCGGAAAAGCGATTGCGTGACGCTCGGTAAGCTGTAAGATTACATGTTATTATATACCAGACGTAAAAACTCTTCAGATTCTCAGTCTGCATTTTGTACCCACTCTGCAGTCTATATTTTGTATCCGGTCTGCAGTCTGCTGTCTTCATTTTGTACTAACAGGTATCCGTGGCACCAATACAGTTTATTTTTGGTTACATTTATTCGCACAACACACATAATCTACCACAAAATACCTGTGTGTGAGGTAATTCGACATTTTCATTCTTTCCCGCGTTAATAATCTTCTTTTCTTTTGTAAGAATGTAGACCACTTACAATGTTTCAAGTAATCCACCCACCCTACAAAAAATAACTCTTGCATGCATAGCATGCCTATGCTTTTAGACAGGTGTATGCCCTTGGCCAGACTTGAACTCACTATTTCAGTATACTAGTCCGACGTGCGTAGTATCACTACACTTGATTCCACGGATCCAGTACCATCCAGGTATCCCAGTTACCCTGCTCACAGGGTCTAGTTGTTATATTTATTCGGTCGTACCGAGACCAAAGATTATTCTCAATCGATGCTATGACTATTGCCAAGATGTTATAATTACTGCAAAAAAATCTAATAGATTTAATTTTCGGTTGATTCATTTTCGTTTGATGTGTTTGATTATTTACCAGGCGAGTTGATATTTCGCTACCGCGAAGAATGGAGCAGGAAGTGCTTCAGCATGAAGTAATCAAACTACTGTATTTACTTGTGTATAAGTCGACCTCATGTACAAGTCGACCCCCCTTTTATACAACTACAAAAATACCTGATCAGATACATCGCTGTACGCACGCAGAATTAGTTTGATTATTTCGTGCCGGAACAATCATACCATATTCTTCGCATCTACTTTAACAGTAACGAAATATCAACTCGCTTGATAGATAATCAAACACATGAAACAAAAAAAGAAGTCAATTTTGAGCATATAAACACTCCACAACAATGGAAATAAGTTCGTAAACGGGCAGTGGGTGGTTGACTCAATGTCCGAACTTTCGCGGTTTATTTTCATTAAAAGGCACGTGACTCTTCACGCGAAATCTTAAGTCTAAAAGGTGAATTTAATGTGTTGTGTATTAATAAGCACGTCACCTCCTAGTTAGCAATTATTCGTTTTATCAAAAGAGGTCTTTTCACTATTTATAACATTTTGCTTTTCCTCTTACTTGTCTGTCTGTTTGTTTGTTTTTGTTAATCGCCAATAGAAGCTGATACAACCCTTAAGGATAATAATTTAGGCTACCAAGCAGTAGAATATGCTGGGATTGGAGGCAAGACTAGATCCTGGACTGGATTAATTGATATGGTAAATTGTTAATGTCTATTTGAAGCTATCCTTCAAATTTTTGTGAGATGTGCTTGCATTGTGTAGGGCAAATACCACAATATTTTTTAAAGTTGTATCATCAATATTGCAAGATGGTAAAATTTCAATTAAGAGAAATAACAGATATTGCAGCTGTGTTTTGTAATTGAAATGATACAACTTGTTTTTAAGTATATGAAAGAGAAAGAGAGGAGAGAGATTGAGGAAAGACGGCACTACCCTTTGGATATGAGATTGAAGGAGAATATTGTTGGACAAGAAGAAGCCATTCTCACAGTTGCTGCAAGTATGATGTTCTATAGGACAAAATTAGTTTTGGAAGGCCACATTTTGGCAAATTTGAGAATAATATTCTACTGAATCTGTTCATTTGTTTGCAGCAATTCGTAGAAGAGAAAATGGTTGGTATGATGAGGAACATCCCCTTGTGTTTCTCTTTCTTGGATCTTCAGGAGTTGGTAATTTTGCTTTCTTGGAACAGATTCAGTTACACATTTGAGCTTACTCACATAAAACATGCACAATGTGATATTGCATTATTAATGACTGTGACTTTAATCAGATTTGCTTGTAACAGATTTCTGGAGCTCTGCATATGAAAAAGTTACATTATTAATGCAGTATGATCCTGCATTCAAGTTTCTAAGTTGTAGGGAAAGACTTCTATTCGTGTATTGTTATTCTCTCTGATTGTTCCACCCTGTAGGAAAAACAGAGCTTGCCAAACAAGTGGCTAGGTATCTTCAAAAAGGCAACAAGAAGGTAATACAGGATTTTTTCAAAAATTTAATTTTATCACTTTGTTAAATTCTGTAAAAGTCACTGCCTGTTGTCGTTCTTTCTCCCAGGGTTTTATAAGACTGGACATGTCTGAATACCAAGAGAAACATGAGGTAAGAGTTGATTCAAATGAGAAACTTGAAGAACGTTTAAGACTTCCATCCATTGTTTTACTATCTTAGAAAAAAGAAAACTCCTTTGACGAAGACAACTAAGGTATAAGGGTTATATGGGCAGCTAAGGGGAGGGGGGGGGAAGATGGGGGGCAGAATTCTCTTCCTTAAAAATTTCAGGATTCCCCAGAGTTGTGGTAAGACGTAGAAATCGGGCCCATTCTGTCAAAAACTTTGGCTGATACTGACACCTCTACTTTATCTTACACAGAAATTTTCAATTGAGGGTGGAAATCAAGCCAGGGTTGAATTGGTTTTGTTTGATTTTGTTTTACTTCACTCTGTGATTGGTCCCAAAAGGTCACACCACCCACTAAACCAATAAGATTCAAAACTAAAATCAACTGCGTCTTCATCTCTCACATTCTCGCACACCTCAAGCAATGTGCTTGTTATTACTCTCAATTCCCATTGGCTCGTTGTGATATTTTCCTTTGTTTTTATTGGCTGTGGTGCTTGCTTTGGTCTTGATATTACACTCAAATGAAGAGCCCTTAAACTGGAATTTAAACATCGTTCTTTCAAGGTTGCAAAAATGATCGGTGCACCACCAGGTTACACTGGACATGATGAAGGTGGACAATTGACAAAGAAACTCAAGGAGTGTCCAAATGCTGTCGTGTTATTTGATGAGGTAAGAAATTAACAATCCTCAATTTTCATAGACCTTTTTTTTGGTGACTAAAATTTCTGGGCTCATCTCATTTTTTAATGTCTTTTTAGGTGGATAAGGCCCACCCAGACATTTTAACAGTCATGCTCCAGTTGTTTGATGAGGTAGCATCTATACTTAAATTTGAATGAAGATTTTTTTTTTTTCCCAATTTGAGTCATAATAGGTTATAAAATTTTTCATTTTGTTGTTTTGTTGTTTTCTTTCTTTTTAAGTTTTGATGAAAAAAAAAATCTCTTTTTTTGATTCAGGGTCGTTTGACAGACGGACAGGGGAAGACGATTGTATGCAAAGATGCCATTTTCGTGATGACTTCAAACCTTGCTAGTGAAGAAATAGCAAATCATGTATTGGAACTGAGAAGAGAAGCAAAACTAGCTGCTGAACAAAGACAAGAAGGTGAGTTTTGTTGTGGAGGCTTAAATTTTGCTAATGCTGGGCGGTGAAATGCAGGATAAATTTGGAAAGACGTGCAATGTTTCATAATACAGATTTGTACTTCATTCCACACTTAAACAAGTTTCTTTGGGAAGAAAAGTTTGTTCTTTTTTTCCAATGTGTATGTGTCCTTGTGTTGCATGGGCTGGAGTTCACTGTTTTTCTTTTCAGGTGGTGAAGTAAGCGAAAAGGTTACTATATCAAGAAAGTTTAAAGAAAGAGTGGTCCAGCCTATTCTGAAGGTAAACATCCCTTTGGCGATAAATTACAGCAAACCTGGTAAACATTTCTTTGGCAATAAATTGCAACAAACCTGGGTCTATAAAGTTAAGAAAAATAAGTGATGTCTTGAGAATTGGTTCTTTTTTGTTAAAGCTAAAGGGTAGTTGTCATAACATATTCCTGAGAGCTTTTTGTTTCTCTTCGTATCACCAGGCTCACTTCGGACGAGACGAGTTCTTGGGTCGCATCAATGAGATAGTTTACTTCCTACCATTTTCACAGCCAGAGCTTTTAAGCTTAGTGAAGAAAGAGCTGGATTTCTTGTCAGAAATGGTCTGTAATGTGCTCTCCTGTAACCTTGAATGATCTCGAGCAGTTGTTAAAGAAGTAATCTAAGTCTGTGCCCAATTTCTTCTTTGTTTGAATACAGGCATTGAATCGACATGATATCCACATGAGTTGGGATAAAGAAGTCTTGGATGTACTGGCTGATGGCTACAACATACATTACGGAGCGAGATCGATAAAACACGAAGTATGATCGATTCTGTGTTTACTACTTTACCTTGTGGTGTAATTTCACCCTCCCCTCCTCCACTAAAATACTCACACCTCTTGATTTTGACAGCTTTTTGTCAGTTTTTTTCTCTCCTCTTCACTGAAGTGTTTTAATACAATTCAATGCCAACCTAATGAGAAATTGGAAATAACACGAAACTTTTTTATATGACTAGCACTAAAACAATGAAATGGAGGGGAAAATAATCACCGTTGAAAGGAGAATGTGTTGCTGGCAAATAGTGGAAATGCTGGTAACACAGTCCGAAATTAAACGAAATGCTGTGGCTGTTGGCAAGTGCAGAAAGTCTTTCTTTGTAGTGTGGTAACATATTCGTAGTATTAAAATACTGAAACAAACGAGGACTGAATCAGGTATATGAATTATTCTCATGCAAAAATTATTGGTTGTAATACAGGTTGAAAGAAGAGTTGTCAATCAACTTGCTGCTGCGCATGAGCAAGAGCTGATAAGTTCCGGATGCACCCTGCACTTAACAGTGAGCCGCCCCAAAGATAAAACAGGACGGAACTCAGAGAAAGTAGCTCCTACCATCAAACTGCAACACATTAGGGAAGCAGGGCATGAAATTGCACCTAATACAGGTGCCAATGAGAATAAATTTTTCTCTTTGGCGACTAAATTTTTCTCTCTGGTGACCAAATCCTGAAAATTAGGCACCAAACTGGCAACTAGAATGCTTCATCATAACCTTACCTAAAGATATAATGAGCTAAAAAGATTTGCAAAAGTAAATCCGCAGCAAACGTCCTCTTTAAGTTTGTTTCCAAAACACAGCACATGCATCTCAATCACTGACTAGACGCCATTTTGGATTTAGGTTAGCTTAAAGGTTGTATATCATCCATCGTAGAGTCCACTTTGTGGCACATAAAAGATCTTTTTCCTAACTTCATTTTGGAGGTTCTATCTAGGACGCTGACAGCGTAAAAAAAGGGTTTGTTTCTCTTTAAAAATGGTGACCAACTTTTTTTGAATCGGGTACCACTTTGAAAAATTTAGGAGCCAGTAGTAGCTTTCAGAAAAAAAAATTAATTTCATGCCCTGCATTGATGTTGGAAACTATTTTGTTCCTGAAGATAAACTGTTCTGTTGAAAAAGAGAAAACAAGCAACAATCGACCCGACCCGACCCAACTGTAGATATTTATACCATTTCAGTCTTTCTCTCATGGTTATGCTTGTAATTTATTGACATTGTAGTGAAATTTGTGTAAAATGAGTACAATAGGGGCTATATTTGTATATTACCACAAATAAAGAATTGTTTTGATTTTGTTTGATTTTGTTTTCCTCTGTCTTGGATTGGAAATTTTTTAACCAAAGCCACAACATACATAACAGGTATGCTCGCTTTAATTTAAACCCGGTTTCCTTTTCTTGCTTTGCCTTGGACTTCAGACATTTTCCCATCTATCTGGTGAGGTACACATTTTGTGTTCATTGTTGTTGAGTGGCAAACACATCATTCTCATCTTTTTCTAATCTTGTTTTATTGGTGCTGGTTCTTTTTCTTCTTGTATAGCCACCCAGATGTAAAAACCAACAATAATATGAATAACTATCACAGTTACTCCTGCTGCACCTATTGCACCATTTGGATAACCCAGTATATCTGAAAAATACAGGAAAGTAGGAGTGATATCACTAAAGTAGCTTTCTACCTTGAGCTAATAAAACATGTAGTGTAATGGTTACAACAAGTGTAACCTATTCTACTATGCAGGTTCTACAAAACTGGATGAGAAAGACTATCAGCCTGGAGAAAGAGTTAAAATTTCTCTTACTATAATTTTTTAAGCTAAAATAATGGACTTTATTTTTCTGTTTATTTTTAACCCTCTACACCCTAACATCAGTATGTATATTCTCCATACTGTTCTCTATACATCCCCTAAGGTGCTGACAGGGAGGATTTGTTTAACAATCAAGAGCTTCCTCAGTCAGTGATCATTTCCTCTATTCTCAAGACCTGCATGTGGGATTCAGGTGTGATATTAGATGATCATCACTCTTAGGGGTGTAAGGATTAATTATCATCAAGAGGATATCAATACTGACACCCAGGGCAGAGCTTGGTGACATTTCTGTATGCTTCAACATCACATGAAAATACTTCACAATATCAATGCACTATTAGGCTGACAATTGGTGATAATAAAGAAAAATATCAAATAGGAGATTATTTTTTTGTGGAAAAACAAGTCCCTAGGACAAAAACTGCAAGAAATATATTGGGAAAAATGTGAAATTTGGGAAAATTACTATTGAAATCTTGGAACTGGAAGGGGAAATTAAGGAAAACTTCTGTAGATTTTGTACCAAAAATAATGTGGTTACCTTCAAAGAAGATTTTCTTGGAAAGGAAAAAGCAGGATATTGGTAACAAAATCATGGCTAAGGTAAACTTCAAAAGAGTTATAAGAACTGACTTCTCACGAGGCCTGTAAATCAATCAATCAATCAATCAATCAGTCAGTAAGCCACTCAATCAATCAATTGGTCTAATTGTAAGTTAGTCTGTTGGCCAGTTCTTGCAATTCAATCATTCAATTAATCAATCAGTCATTCATTCATAGCACCGTACAATCAGTCAGACACCTAGGAAATTAAGGAATCAATCAATCAACTGATCAGAAAATAAATCAGTCAAACAATCACGAATTATGTCAGTCAGTCAATCAGCCTGGCAGTTATTATTGGTGAGTCACAAAACCTCTTCAAAAGCTCCGTTCCACCATCCAAAAATTATGACTCACGAATCTCAATTCTAAGGCAAAGGAAAAATCACTTTTTGTAGAGGTACAGTCAATTCATACGTATTTATCTGATACAACAACAAAGCTGTCTTGCACTTTGACAATTAGAAGACTGATGAAACTCACCCTAAGGGTTGTCCTTGACTATCAGATATATTCATTGTTTTTAAGAATTTCGTATAAATTTATCGATAAGTTACTAAATCTGTACTGCGGTCACGAAATACCAAACTCCTTAAAAGAACCCTCGATCTGTGTGAGCTACCGCTACCGCTGCCTGTCCGCCATCTTCGTTTTCAGCTGATAATAGATGAGGTGCACTGGGACTAGTTAAGCTCATGCCCTCACGGTTCCGGCAGGATTACGTCAGACAACAACATGGCGGCCACAATTCGTCTTCTCCGAGGAAAATTGTCGCGTTCATCTGTGTTAGATTTCCTTAAAAGCCATACCTTCACGACAGTGATCTTAAGGCTAAGCTCAGGAAATTTATCGAGATGGTGGAGGCTCTTTCTTCCTTCCAAAAAGAGCTTACAATGGAGAGTTGTAGCGGGATCAACCGCTGGTATGCTCTGTGGAGGAATTACTCTTTGTATGAGCTCAGGTACGATTGAGATCAACGCGATTTTGTTCTGCCTGATTCAAACTAAATTCCATAAGTATGGGAACCTTTATCCTAAGATTTTTACGTGATGAAGTATGTTATTATTATAAGTCGTACCAAGACGAAAGAATCTTATTAGTGATTGATGTTATGAATATTATCAAGATGTTATAATTCCTGCAAAAAATCTAATATATTTCATTTTCGGTTGATTGCCACTTTTTACTGATTTAGTATTCGATGTTGATATCTTTTTTTATTTATCGATTGCTCAATTGAGTTCAGATGCTTGTTGATAATTTGATAGTTCTTAAAAAAATGAATTTGCTTCTCCAGGTGTTTCTGAGAGAATGTGCAGATTAGCCAAACATAATGACACCAATGAACTCCAAAGGTTGGTGGCCTTAATGGAATTTCTTGTGCTTGCTTGTTTGTTTATGATGTTTTATAAAATAAATGAGATACTACGAGCAGCCTGTTTGGTCAAAAATCCATAAAAAATTGAAGTTTATTTTAGAAATGCAATAGTTTGCACTTTCTATTGGTTTACTGGTGTAATAACCCACCTGGAATGTTGAGAGAACACTTGAAAAGTGTATGGGTTATTGTCACTAGTAAATTGATAGAAAGCACAGTCTATTGCATGAGCTGTGTTTTTAGTGATTTCTTGTTTAAATTTCTGTAGCTATGTTGATTCTAGTTTCTTTTGTCTTAATTCATTACCTAAAACAAAGGTATATAATATTATGTATCAAACTTGTTTGAAAAATTTTGAACCACAGAAAAAAACCGAACTGCAACATATACATGACATAATCCAGGGTGAATCAAAAGTCATAGACAATTTATTTGTTGTTTTTTCCTTGACTTGTTTCCATCTACTTCCTGTCATCAGACTGATCAATCAAGGTCAGAATGTCAATCAAAAGCATCAGCTGGGATGGACTCCACTTCATACTGCAGCTTTTAATGGCAGTGAGAGGTAACTGTTTGTTGCATGAATTCTTTTATTTTTTAATTTGTCTCCCACTCTCCCAACCTAACTCTCTTCTATTCTCTTTTATCCTCTGTTATTCCTTTTCTCAATGGTAAATTCTTTTGACTTGTGTACCATAGTTACCATACTCTGTGCGATTAAAATACTTCATGCAAAGAACTCTCTTGGTGACATGCTGCAAACTTGGAATCTACATAATTTTAGTTTAAACAGTTTTGTGTATGTCTTTTGTGTTTATTAGTTTATATACTAGCTAATTTTCTTTTCATTTTTGTATATCACTCTTGTACTTGTATATTTAGGAACCAGGTTTTTAAAATCTTGAGTTGTCAAAGGTTAAATGCTGTCTCTTCTTCACAACAAATTCTGCTTTACTTACCTGCATTTAAAGGTCTTTGGCACTTCTACTAAAGGCGGGAGCTGATGTCAATGCAAGAGATGAATTCAGCACAGCTTTCCGAACTGCTCAAAAGAAGCACATGAGATCTTTTGATGGTAAGAGAACACAAGTTACTCCTAAGAATTTTTTAAGGTTTCCTCAAGATTTTGCAAGTACCTATCTGTAAATGCTACTGAGTGGAGAGAAGCATTTATGGTAAGTTTGTTACTGAAGACTGCAACACAGTGAGCCTGCCATTGCTTGTACCCAAAACTCTTAATCTGGAGCTCAGCAGGCCAGTCACTGGACCTTTCCTTTCTTTCACAATGCTGCCATAATTTATTTTTATAAAATATTAATGTTTTAGTGATATTGATGCGAGATGATGACTTCAGTGACAGACTCCATCGCAGTGCTAACTTCAGTGGCTTCACTCCACTCCATTATGCAGCTCTTGGTGATAGCCTTGAATGTGTTCAACTCCTTGTGAATGCTGGTAACGTTTTTGAGTTGTTTTTAATAAAGATTACTTTTATTAATGCACAGGACCAATCTATTTTAGCCTTTGACCCCTAATGTTGTATAGTGTGATATTTCTCCTTACAATATCACCCCTGAATCACATAGTAAGGTTACAAGAATAAAGGAAGAAGTTCTTGATTGTTAAACAAATTCTCCTTGTCAACACCCTTGGAATTGTATAAGGAACAGTATGGAGAATATGCATACTGATGTTAGGGTGTAGAGGGTTAAGTTTTTCACTCTGAGGATGTTGTATTACTTGAACACATTCTCCCTGCTGCTGTCTAAGTTGTGTATAGTTAGTGCTGTGTTTTATCAAAAGAGGTCTTTTCACTATTTATGATAACATTTTGCTTTTCTTCTAGCTTGTTTGTTTGTTTGTTTTTTTATTGCCAATAGGAGCCGATCCAACTCTTAAGGATAACTCAGGCTACCAAGCAGTAGAATATGCTGGGAATGTAAAGATTAAAGAATTCTTGATGAAAAAAATGGATGTGGTAATAGATGTTACTGTCTGTTTGAAGCTATCCTTCAAATTTTTGTGAGCTGTGCTTGCATTGTGTAGGGCAAATACCACAATATTTTAAAAAATTGTATTGTCAGTATTAAAGATGGCAAAATTTCAATTAAAAGAAAAAACAGGTAGTGCAGCTGTGTTTTGTGATTGAAATGACACAACTTGTTTTTCAGTATGTGAAAGAGAAAGAGAGGAAAGAGATTGAGGAAAGACGGCGCTATCCTTTGGAGATGAGATTGAAAGAGAATATTGTTGGACAAGAAGGAGCCATTCTCACAGTTGCTGCAAGTATGATTTTTTATGCAACAAAATCAGTTTTGGAAGACTACAGTTTGGCAAATTTGAGAATAATATTCTACTGAATCTGTTTTTCATTTGTTTGCAGCAATTCGTAGAAGAGAAAATGGTTGGTATGATGAGGAACATCCCCTTGTGTTTCTCTTTCTTGGATCTTCAGGGATTGGTAAATTTGCTTTCTTGGAACAAAGATTCAGTTTATACATTTGAGTTTACTCACATAAAACATGTGCAATCTGATATTACATTATTAATGACTGTGACTCTACTCAGATTTTCTTATAACAGATTTCTGGAGCTCTGCATTTGAAAAAGTTACATTTAATTTATTAGTGCAGTATGATCCTGCATTCAAGTTTCTAAATCATAGGGAAAGACTTCTATTCATGTTTTATCATTCTCTCTGATTGTTCCTCCCTGTAGGAAAAACAGAGCTTGCCAAACAAGTGGCTAGGTATCTTCATAAAGACAACAAGAAGGTAGTGCAGGTTTTTTTGAAACTGTATTTTGTTATTACTTTGTTTAAGTCTTTAAAAGTCACTTTCTCTCTCCCAGGGTTTTATAAGACTGGACATGTCTGAATACCAAGAAAAGCATGAGGTAAGAGTTGATTTAAATGAAAAAATCAAAGAACGTTTAAGATTCCGATCTATCATTTTACTATCTTTGAAAAAGAAAACTTTCCTCTGACAAAGACAACTAAGGTATAAGGTTTATACGGGCAGCTAAGAGGGGGGCAGATGAGAGGCAGAATTCTCTTACTTAAAAAGTTCAAGATTCCCCAGAGTTGTGGTAAGACATAGAAATCGGGCCCGTTCCGTCGAAAAATTTGGCTGGTACTGACACCTCTACCTTATTTTACACAGCAATTTTCAAGTGAGGGTGGAATTGCTTTTGTTTGGTTTTGTTTTGCTTCGCTCTGTGGTTGGTCCAGAAAAGTCACACCACCCGCTCCACCAATTAGATTCAAAACTGAAACCAACTGTGTCTTCGTCACTCACGTTTTCCCGCGCTTCAAGCATTGTGCTTGTTCTTACTCTCAATTCCCATTGGCTCGTTGTGATATTTTCCTTTGTTTTTATTGGCTGTTGTGCTTGCTTTGGTCTTGGTTTTACACTCAAACAAATGGCGCTCAAACTGGAACTTAAACATCTTTCTTTCAAGGTTGCGAAAATGATCGGTGCACCACCAGGCTACATTGGACACGATCAAGGTGGACAATTGACAAAGAAACTCAAGGAGTGTCCAAATGCTGTTGTGTTATTTGACGAGGTAAGAAATAACTGATCCTCGAATTTTTTAGAGGTTTCTTTCTTGTGACTGAAATCTCTGGGCTCGTCTCATTTTTTAATGTCTTTTTAGGTGGATAAGGCCCACCCGGACGTTTTAACAGTCATGCTTCAATTGTTTGACGAGGTAGCGTCTATACTTAAATTTGAGTTAAAATTGTTGTAGTTGTTTTTTTAAATTTAGTCATTATAGGTTTTAAAATTTTTCATTTTGTTATTTCATTCTATTCGAGTGTTGATTTAAAAAAACCTCTGTTTTTGATTCAGGGTCGTTTGACGGACGGACAAGGGAAGACGATTGTATGTAAAGACGCAATTTTTGTGATGACTTCAAACCTTGCAAGTGATGAAATAGCAAATCACGCATTGGAGCTGAGAAGAGAAGCAAAACTAGCTGCTGAACAAAGAAAAGAAGGTGAGTTTTGTTGTGGAGGCTTAAATTTTGCTAATGTTGGACGACGAAATGCGGGATAAATTTGGACAGACGTGCAACATTTCATAACACAAATTCGCACCTTATTCAAGTTACTCGTGAAATAATAGCTAGTCTGGCTGGAATACAAAGGGAGAAGGGAAGGGAATGAGGAAAAAGTTTACACAAACACGCGAAAACAAAGTTGGTCTTGGGAAGAAAAGTTTTCTCTTTTTTTTCCAATGTGTATGCGTTCTCGTGTTGCATGGGCAGGAGTTCACTGTTTTTCTTTTCAGGTGATGAAGTCAGCGAAAAGGTTACTATATCAAGAAATTTTAAAGAAAGAGTGGTCCAGCCTATTCTGAAGGTAAACATTCCTTTGGCGATAACTTGCAACAAACGTGGCAAACATTTCCTTAGCGATAAATTGCAACAAACCTGGGTTTATGAAATTGAGAAAAATGAGTGATGTCTTGAGAATTCGTGAGTATTCTTTTTTGTTAAAGCTAAAGGGTAGTTATCATGACATGTTCTCTAGAGCTGTTTGTTTCTCTTCGTATTGACAGCTTCACTTCAGACGAGACGAATTCCTGGGTCGTATCAACGAGATGGTTTACTTCCTGCCATTTTCACGCCCAGAGCTTTTAAGCTTAGTGACGAAAGAGCTGGATTTCTGGTCAAAAATGGTCGGTAATGTGCTTTCCTGTGACCTTTTGTAAATGATCTCGAGGAGTTTTTAGAGAAGCAATCTAAGTCCCTGCCGAATTTCTTCTTTGTTTGAATACAGGCGTTGAATCGACACGATATCCACATGACTTGGGATAAAGAAGTCTTGGATGTACTGGCCGATGGCTACGACGTACATTACGGAGCGAGATCGATAAAACACGAAGTAGATCGATTCTATGTTCACGACTTTACCATGTGGTGTAATTTTGCCTTCCCCCCCATTCCACTAAAATACTCACACCTCGCGTTTCCGACGGCTTTTTGTCAGTTTTTTCTCTTCTCTTCGCCGTTTTATTATTTTAATACAATTTAACGCCAAACATATGAGAAATTGATAATAACGTAAAACTTTTTCTTATAACTAGCAATGGAAATGGAGGGTAAATGATCGGCATTGAAAAGAGAATGTGTTACCGGCAGATAGTGGCTGTAGGCAAGTGCAGAAGGAGTCTTTCTTTGTAGTGTAGTAACATATTCGAGGTCGGAGGACCCTCGCCTAAATATTTGCCATCTGAAAAAAATACCGAAACAAACGAGAACTGTAGCAGGTCTTTGAATTATTCTCTTACGAAAATTATTGGTTGTGATACAGGTTGAAAGAAGAGTTGTCAATCAACTTGCTGCTGCGCATGAGCGAGAGCTGATAAGTCCCGGATGCTCCCTGCACTTAACAGTGAGCTACCCCAAAGATAAAAATGGACGGAACTCAGAGAAAGTAGCACCTACCATCAAACTACAACTCATTAAGGAAGGAAAAAAGAAAGTCGACATTGATGTTGGAAACTATTTTGTTCCTGACGATAAACTGTTCTTTTGAAGAAGAGAAAGCAAGCGACGAACGAACTGGAAACGGAAATGAATTTGAATGGGTAGTCAGCAGTGAGGATTCAAGACCAAGTGAAGATCTTTTTACCATTCCAGTCTTACGGTCATGGATCAGTCGTTGTTCAAAGGCTCACGCGCTGACACAAACAGAATAAGTAGTTCTCGCACACCAAAAACAAGATTTTCTTAGAACGTTCATGGAGAGCATGTTGGCTGAATTGTAGTTCAGAGCCTCGTGATGGTTATTTTGTGATCGAAGGAAGACTGACATGTGTAGATACTGTTCTGGTGAAGCCTATTTTAGAAATGTAAATATTGGTAAAGAAATACAACAGGGCCAGGATTGGAACGAACTCAAAGGGCGCAAAAAATAAAAAAAAGCAACTGTTCCATGGAAAAAAAAACTCTTAGTACTGGATGGCTTCCAGGTGCATCCAAAATTTCAAATAATGGAGAAAATATAGAAACCAACAATTTAATAAGTAGTTGCATTCATCGTTGTAGTGTATTCCGGTGATCCAGGTCTCTCTACCCCTCCCCTCTCCTCCCTCCCCACTCCCCTCCCCATACATACTAAATTCCAATCATCATTGCCAATTGCGGTTGCCTTTGTATGGGGTTTTTACAAGGGTCTTGCTATGGTTTTTTTATATCAAAGCTAAAACTATTCCTGAAACTTATTTAACTCATTGTAACTTAGCAAACACAAAGTGAATATAACCAAAAACATTTTTGTGCTGGAAACATTCCAAACTGAGGATACAATTCGAATCCAAGAGGAACCATCACAGCTGTACCTCGTGTCTTTATCCTCCTCCTGAATCATTTCATATTATGACATATTCTTTTCCGTGTTCCCACTGTACTAGCAAAATCCTCTATAACGTATTAACTCAATATGTCTTTTAAAAAACGCTGAAACTGAGAGGAAACCAACAATAAAAACGAAGTAAAACGTCAGCCTAACTAATATCAGTTATTTTAAACCAGCGCCGCGAAAAAGAATTGGTTTTGTAACCAAAGCAAAGTTTATGACTTGTGTTGCTTTAAGCGAACTGGAACATTAATTCCAGAAATCCGAAATTTCGAGTATAATAAGCGGGTTCGACATGTCATGTGCAATACCTGATATTATAGAAGAAATTCTTAGTTCTACTGTAAGAAGAAATTCTCACACTTAAATCTAAGCGAGTCAATACTTTAAAATAATTCACTAAACAATTCCTTGTTCAAGCATTGATTGAGCAACCTTGATGAAGCCTCCGATATTTGCTCCCTTGACGTAATCGATGTAGCTTCCATCTTTGGACGTGCCGTACTGGACACAAGTTTTGTGTATACTTTCCATGATGTCATGGAGGCGCTCATCCACGTCCTTTCGCGTCCAGGCGCTGCGCAGACTGTTCTGAGACATCTCAAGCCCCGATACAGCCACGCCTCCAGCATTGGACGCTTTTCCTGGTCCGAAGAGGATTTTGTTTTTGTGGAATTCATCAATCGCTTCAGGTTCGGATGGCATGTTAGCGCCTTCCGCTACAGCATGACAGCCATTGTTGATCAGCATCTCCGCATCTTCTTTGCTAATTTCGTTCTGCGTCGCACAAGGTAAAGCTACGTCGCACTTCACGAACCACGGTCGTTTTCCTTCGAAGAATTCTGCGTCAGGGTACTGCTCCACGTACTCGCTAATTCTACCGCGTTTGACATTTTTGAGCCATTTAACGTACTCTATCTTTTCCTGGTTTAAACCACCGTGGTCGTACATGGTGCCTTCAGAGTCCGACAGGGTAACAACCTTACCACCCAACTGCACCACTTTCTCTGAGGCAAACTGTGCCACGTTGCCTGATCCTGACACTGTGACAATTTTTCCTCTGAAGGTCTCGCCCCGTGTGTTAAGCATCTCCGCGGTGAAGTACACAAGACCGTAGCCGGTAGCTTCAGGTCGGAGCAGACTTCCACCGAAGCTGAAAGACTTTCCCGTCAAAACCCCGGTGAACTCGTTGCGTATTTTCTTGTACTGGCCAAACAGGTAACCGATTTCTCTTGCTCCCACGCCAATGTCTCCAGCCGGGACATCAGTATTTGGGCCGATGTGCCTCTGGAGCTCCGACATGAAAGACTGGCAGAAACTCATCACTTCATTGTCGGTTTTACCCTTGGGGTCAAAATCAGATCCCCCTTTTCCACCTCCCAGGGGTAAGGTTGTAAGGCTATTCTTGAACACTTGCTCAAAGCCAAGAAACTTAAGAATTCCCAAGTTGACACTGGGATGAAAACGCAGGCCACCTTTGAAGGGGCCAATGGCTGAATTGAACTCTACACGAAAGCCCCTGTTGACGTGGACCTCTCCGCTGTCATCTCTCCAGGGGACCCGAAAGATAACGACCCTTTCTGGCTCCACAATTCGCTCCAATATGTTACTGTCAAGATAAACTGGGTGTAGGTGAAGATAATCCCAAAGAGAGCCTATCACTTCATGTACGGCTTGATGAAATTCGTGCTCCCCAGGGTTTCTCTTAACAACATGGTTCATAAAGTCATCAACACATTTGAACTTCATGTTTCCATCCTACAAAAAGGAAAGAAAGAATTTTGTTGTGCCAAAAGACAAGACTTGGTTATAAAGTTCTTCGTTACTGATGTGTGTTCGATTCTTCAGAGGTTAATTCCAAGGATGTCAACACTATCTCACCGCAGTCCAAAATTGCGCACGGTAAGAGCGGTTCGAATAGTTTATCATTAAAATATTTCATATCTACCGTTGTACAAGGATTTCCGAGGTCTGCAGTAAATTGTCTGAAACTTGACTTCAGGAGGTCACGATGAATTTTTGAAAAAACTCTTATAAAAAATATTCCCCCTATAGAATAACACATTCAAAGCAATCTCTTCCTGGTCGGGGCGTGATTTGACAGTGGTTATTAATGACGTCAACAAATAGGTATTCTTAAGCGCGCTAGTTGGCTCGCATGATCGCAGCGACTCAAGCAGGTGATTTGGAATAATGAATGACAAGTATAAGTGGTTTGTTGATCTTTACGTTGACTAGCTAACAGTTCACTTATATTGTGCTCTTGTTTTCTTTCGCTTATACTAGAGTAAGGTCGTTCTCCTGAATGTGAGAAATGCATGACAGTTCTTGTGATTTTTTACGCAACATGCTGCGTCAGTCACCCAAGCCAGATGGTCACGCAAACCAAAAAATCACGCAATTATGGCAGAAATGAGCTTAATCATGAAATAATTTCAATAAGTTCGTCACCCTGCGATTGGTCATTCTGGGAAAGGATTCACTTTCGCTTTTTTGGTGTAGCTTCCGGGAAAAGGGATAATAAATACACTGGTATTACATTAATGTTCGAATTGTCGGTCGTTCTTCCAGCTCGAAAATCACAGGATTCTTGCCTTTCATGGCACAAAACCGGCCATTACACGACGTTACGTCTAAAACAAAATACTTCTGTTAGATCAATTTATCACAATTATGTTAATACGTTGTGTCCAAAACAGGGAGCTGTTTTGGCCAACAGATGGCCCGAAACGAAATCTTTAATCATTTCCAGTCGACGTTGTTTTTAAGTCGTCTTTTAAATTTCACCTAACGAGATTCAAATGAAACGTATTCCTACGTGCCACGAGAGAAGACTCGAAGCGTTCAACCCGATCAAAATAATTCAATTGTCACGCAAACCTGCTGTAGCTCCGGCGAAAGGAAATGGTTTACGTGGGCTTTCGATTTCCAAACTTGCATGCGATCGAAGTTAAATTTTGCTCGTTATTTACCTCGGCGGAGGACGGAAAATAAGTCAGCAGCTTTAACAGCTAGAGCCTTCAAATCTCTTGAATGGTATGTTTGTTTTTCGTCTTTTCAATTACCGTTTCCTTCCAGGTTTACATTGGATTTCTCGTACTTTACTCCGGAACAATTTCTCTAACGATTTCCTCGCACTTAGAAGCAAATTGAAACGAAAGAACTACTCTTATTTGCAGCCGCAAAAACGCTCATGATTGTGAAAATCGATAGCTGTAGACCAATCCAAGGCAGTTGTGTCTGTTTTTATGAACTCCACAATCATTGTCGGATCTTTCGTATAAATTTGCTCGATGTTACAAAGTGGATGGCTGTAGAGGTTCCTCCAGACACACTTAAGGCCTTACAATTAGCGATGCTTTTAACTTTTGGGCTCCCTACCCAGCAATGTCAACAGTTTTGATGATCCTGAGGACAATGATAATACGTCAACAAAACTGGTCGACTGGTTCCAGAATCTTTTACTAACACATTAGTACTCTAGGAGTTTGCATTTGTTCTCCTCCGATTTTTTAAAACACATAAAATCTCTCACTATTTAGCATAAAAAAGTGTCTCAATTAAAGCAGAAAAAGTCCGCTGAAATTCCTAACAAGCCATTGAAAAAGCTTTCTTACAAACAAACTACGACGTAAACAATACCCACCGACATCTCGCCATTTTCTACAGAAGCCGTGGGATTGGGATAAATTCCTGACGCACATCGGACAGCCACTCGCCCAAGCAGCAGAGATAAGCCTCTCTGGGCAGAAAATCCCCTGGCAACATATCGTAGAAACATGCCTGGAAGACTTAACTTCGAAAACAATTCGTTACCGATTCAGCTTCGATTATGCAGTATATTTCACGTCCCGGCTTGCTCTTGTCGTTTTGTCGAATTCTGATCAATATGGGGGAGTGTTATAGGTGTGGGCTGATCGAGTAATATGATTGGCTAAACGAAAGCGAGAATTACAAGGGGCGCAGTTCTACACGAGCGACTACAAAGCAAACACGGAACTGCCAGTCGTTGGTAAAAAGTTTGAATAACGTCCAATACACGAGGACAATCAATTTTGCATACAAGGTTAACTGAACCATTCAAATGTACCCAGAGGCAGTTTGTACCATCAGGTGGTAACAACACCTCTTGTTATGGACGTCTTCCTGATTAATTGATTGTGGCTCATACCGTTGAACCCACAAACAAAACCCTTACAATCACAAAGAAAGTGTTGTGTTTATTTTCAGTTTAACGAGGGTTACACAAAACCAGCGATTTACATGGACACATTATCCCATGTCATGTGTTGGTGAGACTCCATGCTCATTCATAAATTCCCTATAAACCACACAACTACCAGTTTTTCTTTGTTTTGTATTAATAAAACAACCCAGACAAAATTTCTTTTGGTAGATACAGTTTTCAGTCTATTAGTGCCCTTCAAACAACCAAAACTTTCTTGCGAGAAAAATTAAAAACATGTAACTTTGTGTTATTATATACTATTGAGGTACAAGAAGTTCAGTTTCCCTGAAATGAAAAGCACTCATGCCAATTACACTAGTATTACTGATCATCATCACACCTGTATATCATAGAAATTTACCAGCACAAGTCTCAATGCAAGACTACACATTCTCTCCTAATCAGGTGATTCAAGATTTCATCTGTCAACAACTGCTGAAATGACAAGATATAAAAAAGACAAAACAAAAATAACTGTATGAATGTTATGAAGAAGCTCAAAGTAGCAGAAAACTATAAAATTTTATTGCTCTTCAGGAAAGAACACCTGAAGCCTGTGGAGTTCAATCTCTTGAGCTAGTTCTGGTTTCATGTAAATTCCATTAAATTAGCAAGATGACATGTTTTATTATTGCTTATCAGGGCAGAGTTTTGAAAATATTACTACACATGCAACACCTTTTTTTATATCAGCAAGCTTAAACTGTCTAAACATACATTGGAAATTTAGAAACTCCTTTCTCATACTTTCGTCAAAGGCTAAAAAAAGTGTTTGATAAAATGAGATTAAAAAGAAAGCTGAGGCTCTCAGGATAGGCAAAAGAATTGTGCAGGGTCTTCCTTATGAACCTAAACTTTAAAACAGTGCTTGACAAAGCTTCCCATCACATTTCACTGTCACTTTATCCTTTGTTAATAACCATGATTAATCTATCTGTGTTGCGCCTTCTCTACTGAACTTGTCATTTCATCATCGTCATCAGCTACACCAGCCACAATTGATCCTTCTATGTTTCCCCTTCTTTACCGAACTCGTCATTTCGTCATCATCATCAGCTACGCCAGCATCAACTCCAGCAGCTTCAATTAGACTGTTAGCCATCATCTCTGGTATCCTGGCAAAATCAGCTGGTAATCAAATAACACTATCAGTCTTTGATATTTACTTTCATTCTTCCAATTGAAAGTGTAGTTGAACTATATATCGCAATATGGGAATGTTACGGTTTGTGCTCTGTAGAGCTACAGTAGCAGCAGCAGCAGTGACAGTAGTTCTGTAGTAGTGTAGTAACAGCAGTAAATGTAGTAGCACTGGCAGAGATTGCATTAATGGTATTCTCCCCTAATTGCATGACAGGTAGGCTGAATTTTCAAACCAGTAGTGCAATATTTTTTTTCTCTTGAAATTCCAAGAATTCCAAGCAATTTAAGCTGGTAATAAGAGGTAATACAAGCAGTAAATTTGACCAGTTACAACATGAAAAGGAGAACACTACATCAATTATGGTAAAACTTATTGAAGTAACACTTATTCTGGCCTTCACATACTAATTACTGAAAATGTGTCGGTATTATAGGAAAAATAACTAATAACAAATCAGATCTTGAGAGAAAACAGATTACACTTTGTCACTTACCTGCTACTGTTGTCGCATAAATACTCCTGGTGAAGCGCTTGCCAAACTTGCCTTGTGCAGCTAAGCTATAAAACAAAAGAAAAAGAAACTTATTTAGACAGTTGTGAATACTTGTTTTCAGTCACAGAACACCAGTGTCATTTATGGTAAGAGCAGGAAAAACTAGGAGGAGTTAGGTAAGATTTCCACACAGCCCTATACTTTGTATAGGTAATAACATGGTTTGGATTTGATTTAGATTCTCCAAACTATTTCATGAGGAAAAGTATGGCTTCTGGAAGGGAGGATTACAATACTGATCAGATCACAGGAGTTGGTGGGTCAATTTGCTGCAGTTTAAGTAGAATTACATGTGCAGAGTGAAGGAATTTGCATGTTTTTTGTAGAGAACTGAGAATGTTTTCAATTGGTGGTTCCTCAACCGAAACAAATCACCCCTGAAAATGAATGAAGTGAGCAAGTTTCTAAAGAAACTGTGGTGCTGCGTTGGTGGGCGAGTAAAACAAGATAATTAGATTTCATCAAATGAGTTGATAAAGTAAATTAGCCACTATCAATAGTTTCTAACACGACACTCGAAACGTCAGCTTAGAACCCCTGAAAATGGTGTTGGTGACAACTAGCTGTAGTTATATTGTAGTTCCAGTCCCTCAAAGGCAACCTTCATAGACATAAAAAAATCAAAATTTTTACTTACCACTGACCACCCGTGGACGATCTTCCTAATAATCCAATCTGTACATTAATCCCTGTGAAGATGGGCAAATCAAAGATCATCGTAAATTTTAGACCGGAGTAAAGAGTCCAAACTTACACACTATATGTATACACGTGCGGTAAGGCTTATGTAATGTTTTACCTTCTTTACAGCTTCCTTGCTGAAGTCTTGAGGCATGGCGCTGCAGGAAGAAGGCCTAAATTAATGAGAGCTGATATATAAACTCACTGATATAAAGTTTGCTCTTACCACTAGGCGCGCTGAGGAAGAGAGCTTGGAAATCGAACGTATGCACCGGCTCGTCAACATGGCGATGTTGATTTTTTGCGCGTGCGCTGGTGTCTCAAAGCTCCCAATGGTACATGGGATTGTTCTCTTTCGCGGCAGTCATCATGGCGGCTCAAGTCAGCAAGAAAAAGAAGGTCTGAAAACCCACAAGATCTTTGTTGTAACGATTTGAATTATAATTTTCACATCACTGTAGTGAAATATAATTGTTTGAATCGCTATTCGACACCTTAGTTCGATATGATGTTCGAATTACGGCCAAGATTGAAGTGGATTTATTTTTGTCGTAGTATCTTAATCGCAAATGACTGTGTACTGATAGCTAGCAATTTTCTGAAATCCAGGGAAATAGTGCTGTTCTGAACCTAAATTTTGCCCACTCGAGTGAAGCAATCAGTTTTATGTCAGATTGTAAATCTAGGATTTCGAAGAAATCATTGATTGAGGAAAGTTTTGGAAAGGAATGAAGCTAAGTTATTTATATATTTTCCCTGAGATCCTTTACTGAAAGTTTGGCTTTTTCCCTTACTTATGAAACGGAACAGTGGGTATATAAATTTTTTCAATATGTGCTTAAGTTGTTTTTCTAACTTTTTGATTGATTTAGTTCGTTGCTGATGGCGTTTTCAAAGCCGAGTTAAACGAGTTTTTAACTCGTGAATTAGCAGAAGATGGGTACAGTGGTGTAGAAGTGCGTGTTACTCCGATCCGAACTGAGATCATTATTTTGGCCACCAGGACTCAGAATGTCCTGGGAGAGAAGGGACGACGAATCCGTGAACTTACCTCTGTGGTACAGAAGAGATTTGGATTCCCTGAGGGAACTGTAGAGGTACTTGTAGAAATCTTGTAATCAAATTCTTAGGTCAAACAGTGTCATAAAGGAAGGCCTGGAGGAATCATGTACTTTGATTTTGCATTTTATAAGTACATTTAAACTAATATTCATTTTATTAGTATGTAATATAACAGTGGATAGCATTGGAGGCACACTCTGATTGGATTCACCTCCAAGTAACTTGTGTGGGACTTCCACCTGACAAAATTGTTATCATTGCAGAAATAAATGAGCTAAAATCCTCATTTTGTGCCATATTATCTCACTGTTTTAGTATTTACTAAAACAAATATTCACTTTCATGTCAGTGAATATTGGTGGATATTTACCTGGCTGCTTTGTGGCTCAGTAAATATCCATCACTAGCTGCCTCCACTTGGTTAATAGTTGTTTTAAAAAAAACAGTGTTAAAGATGACTCTAACTTTGATAAGAAGGATACTTTGGTTCATGCAGTCATGGTGATGATTTGCAAACAAATGGCCTAATCAAGATATATTAAATCATTCCAGTTAAGGTCATCTTGTAAGGTCTAAGGACATGACATAGCTCTTGGGGTTCTAAAAACAATTTTTTTTTCATGGTCAAAGATTTAGTCTACTTGTTCCATTTTAGGGAAATTTTCTTTTGCCTTTTTTTGTTGTCTGGTTTGCAAAAGAACTGGCATAATTTTTGTAGAACATCAAGATTGTTAACAGAAAATGTACTGATAATTAATTCTTCCCTCCAGTTGTATGCAGAAAAGGTGGCCACAAGAGGTTTGTGTGCTATTGCCCAGTGTGAGTCCCTTAGGTATAAACTGATTGGTGGACTGGCAGTGCGCAGGTAAGAATTCACGACATTTAATACTATATAAAAGGACACATGGGGACTATTGTAAATATCTTCATATTTGATGGAATGAACTGGTTACAAACTTGATTACATGTACATAAAAGGGATTTTAGTCTATTGCCAACATTTTTTTTGAAGTGTCATTTTGAAAATGACTGTAGAAGAGTTTCTTTCTGGCTCTAAAAGTGTTATCTTGACTTTGTTTCATGAAGGGATAATGTGGCTATTGAAGCTGGATAAGGGAATTTAAATTTTGTATTTGAATTGATCTCTGCATGGGAACATCTGATTCATCAAACTTGCTTTTTTAATTCAATAGCAGGGTTGTAGCTGAGATATTAAGCTGCTAACTGAAATTTCAAGCAAGGCAGCTCAAAGATGTTTGATATTGAACAATTTCAGTGATAGAATTTGGCTGGCTGCCTGCCTGCAATTAGTGACAACCCTGTTATAACACTGTTATCATTCAAATAAAGTCTCTTATGTCATTGTGAACAGGGCTTGTTATGGTGTGCTTCGATTCATCATGGAGAGTGGAGCCAAAGGCTGTGAAGTTGTGGTGTCTGGGAAGCTCCGTGGTCAGCGTGCCAAGTCTATGAAATTTGTTGATGGTTTGATGATTCACAGTGGAGACCCAACCAATCACTATGTTGATATGGCTATTAGACATGTCTACCTCAGGCAGGGTATGTTTGTCTTGCTAGTTCACTTTCCACTTGTGTAGGCTTGCCAAACAAATACTTAACTGATGCTCAGTCCACAAGAATACAGTAAGAGAGGCAATTTTTTTTTTTTTGGAGATTGAGAACAACTAGGTAACTAAGTAACTGTTCTCTTTAAGATAGGTTATCTAGAAACACTTGTAACACTTAAGTTGAAACACTAAACACATGCATCTTGAGTTGGCAGTATATTGAAATGGTACTCTCAGAAAGAATCTAGAGTTGCTGCCTTGACACCCAAGAAAGTTAGCTGTAACCATCTGATAACAAGTTTCGAAATGAATTCATTTTGTCAGAGCCTCTTGTAAGATGATTAATAAGAAATTTTTATTTTAGAACACTATAAAACTCTTACTGTTGTTAACAAAGACATTTTTGCCATTAGGTGTGCTTGGAATTAAAGTTAAGATCATGTTGCCATGGGACCCCACTGGCAAAACTGGACCCAAAAAACCACTCCCAGATCATGTCAGCATTGTGGAGCCCAAAGAGGAGGTTGTTCCAGCCACACCTATCTCTGAACACAAAGGAGGCAAACCTGAACAGCCAGCACCAACTCCTGGATTGTAGAGTTACCAGGTATTTGTATAATGTTTACTGTGATTTAGTCAAATAATTAAGGATGCCTTGTGGTGGATGGGACCCAAGCTAAATCAGTTTTCAGAATTTTGACATTTTGGTTAAACTTGAGGAAGTTTGTTTTTTTCCCTTTCATTGAGGATTTAATTATGGCAGTTCCCAGAGAAATGTATTGAGGACATGGCCATTATCTTCAAAGGAAAGGATTTTCTAGGAGTAGAACCTTATATCACTCCTTTATAGGAAGGGGCATTTTAAAAGGTCTTTTTGCTGAGACTATCCAGGAATTAATATGTACCTTGTGAAGGTACTTGGATCCTGAATTCTTTTGTTTTTTATTTTATTTTTTTTATTGTAGGTTATCTACCAGTAAGGTTTTAGACCTGGAACCAAACATCCACTTTTTTGTTTTATTTTTCAGTTCTGAAAGCTTCAACCAGCTGTTTGCCATCTTGCTGTGTAAAAAATAATTCCAAGTATTGAAAATAAACAACTAGTAAACAAAGCAAAAACAGTTTGGTTTATTCTGTCACAGAGCTTAAGAGTAAGAATTCCAGTTTTTGTGTAATTAATCTCCCATTTCATTATTAGGTGCAAACAAGCAGGTTGTCTATAACATGCCTTACTCACATCACATTTACCGTCAACATTACATTTCCACACCAGTGAGTCCATTTCCTATAGTCTAAGAGAGCAAGTGAAAATGGAAGTCCTATGTAAAAACAATCCATTACAACTTAATTGAAATAAATTTTAAATTCTGTATTCCCCAGCTTCATCAAACATCTCTGAAGCTTTATTAAGCTTTTCCAGAGATGTTGTCATATGCTGTGGTCAGCAGTAGCAGCCTTAAATAGTTATTTGAATTCCTGGAACTTGGATCAAGAGAAAACTTATCCTCATCCTCCACCCTGAAAATACAAGAGACATCTGAATATTACAATTATTTTTCATGACCTTCTCTGTAGTTAAACTACCTGATGGTGTCAAGCAGTTTTGCAAACCGACAAATTGACAATGGTGTGATATGGTCTGTACTGTAAACGACAACAATATTTGTAATCACAGTGGTCAAAATGATGTGGTCTCTTGAAGTGCAGCTGAGTAAGTCTGTACCAAATTTTGACCCCTGTATAAGGGTAGAGACCATGCTAAAACACTTTCACTTTGTTTTTTACCATAATATCAAATAAAACCATTCTTTCGGCATGCTACAATTCCGTGACATGTTGACCATGCAGTGTTACCTATACTCTTATCTACAACTGCAAATTGGCCAATCAGATTGAGATACCTACCAATTGAAGTAAAAAATGACTTACTACATCCAACTACTTAAGAATTATAATCTTAAGTTAACTAACTCCATCTTGTTACTCTAAAGACCATACACATTTCATTTTGTGTGCACCCAGCTTGGCTTTTGCAGCTCCATTCAGACTAAGTATAGTCCACGTGCAGTGTAATAATTGATAACATGAAATATGATACTTATAGAGTAACTCGTTTACTTTTTTACTGTAATTCTAGAAGACATGGAAGCTTGTCTAATGAATATCACATACCTTGTTTAGATCCACACCAATGTCCCCAAATTTGGTTATTTTTCCACCAAATTTTTCCGGTTTTCTTGCTCTCTGTGAGAGGATACAATCAATAGAGATCTACAAGGTTTATTTAAAGCAGAAGTTGAAGACACTCTAACCACTTTGGTACTTACTGACTCTCTCATTTCCCTGTCTTTTATGTTCTTTCTGTCAGCCTGGATCTGTGTGCAAGTTAGACATGAACAGAGCAAAGTTATATACCCTGTGATGGACCCAGTTCTAGCTCCAACAATGAGAGAACTTCCTCCTTGATATAAATGAGAATTTTTTACCTACCTGTGCTTTGATTCTTGCTTTTTCCTGATCCTCAAACTTTTTCTTTTCCAAAACTTTCTTTCTTTCCTCTTGTAATTGTCTTTCTCTCTCTGTAAGCTGTTTTTGTTAAATGAAAATCAATCTCACAAGCTTCAAGGGTTGGTATTACACATTTGTGACTGTGAACAAAACAATATTATTGCATCTTGATGGCACTAATACCATAAAGTTTCTACGAATACTTGCCATGAGAGCCATGCCATTTAGAATGAAGTCAGCCCTTTGTCGGAGTGATTGACGAAGGGCTAAAGCTTGAAACGTCAGCTTTGAAACTTTTCATGGTGGCCAATTTATGTTATCAACTAAGTTGCAATGTAGCACCACAGTTTCTTTCAAAACTTAGCCCCTTGATAACTGAAAAATAGCTTGAGCCATTGAAACTTAGCAACAGAATTCTGCTTAGTGAGCAGAGAATTCTCCAAAACTCTGGTCTCTCAGCATTAATATCAGAAAATTTAATACACTTGAGCATTGTTCTAAAAGAAGATCAAATTGAAACAATCTGGCAAAATTAAAAACTTAAAAGGTTGATGACTTACAGGTTCAGAATTAGAGGCTACTTCTGAACTCGATCCTGAAGGAATGTTGCTGAAAAAGGAAAGTAAAGTTTCTGTGGATAAAGGTGCAATCTCATGGGAGAAAAATTTAATTCTTTACATCATGGTGGGAGAGTAAGCGTTTGTATAAGTCAGGTAACAACAAACCAACACACAAAGAAGCTTACTTCAATTTCTTCATTAATATTTGTTTAACAAGTTGAACATCCTCGTCTGATAGAAGAACAACATGGTCATCATCCTAAAGGCAAATTCAGACAATTTTGCTTTTAACAAAAATTCAAATCAGCCTCAATTCAATTTTTTGGAATTTAACTTTGTGGTATTGATTTAATTCTCTGACATAAACTACACAGTACCTCCTGCCATCCCCAACTGAAAAGAAACTCCTGAGCTTCTGCTAGCTGCCACACTCTTACAGAAAATGACTTGTTTTGTTTTTTAACCTTTCGATATTTTTCATCTGTTGGAGATTTAACTATGTTACTGTGGAAAAAAAGACGCAATCATGTGATATCATGTTTGAAGATAGGTAAAAACTAAATAAATCAATTAACAAATGAAATAACACTCAAATCTTTGACAGAGGAAGTCGCTGTTGACATCTAAGTTACAACCTCCCATTATGATCCAGAAAATCTCCCTTCAAAACAGTCCTCCTTATTTTTACTTTCCTAAAATTTTAAAGCTCGTACTCATTATCAGCATAGCCTTAACTACAAGCTATCAAACAAAGTAGTGGAAGACGAGTTTAACATCAAGCTTGTGAGAATATGAACCGTATAAATCCTCGAAATATTAAATAGTTGTAGCTTTACTTTGCTAGTGTTAATAGTGTTTCTATCGCTTTTCGTGCAGTTTCACGATCATGTTCTTTACAAAGCGATTCCAGTGATGAAATCAAGGATTGTTCTCTTTCTCCTTCTCCAAGCTTACTTCCGCCCTGTAAAATAAAATAAAAACAGCATTCGACTAGGTTGATATCAAAGGCAAAAAATTACAGACCACAATTTTACGAGTATAAAATTAACATAACTAAATCTAAATCGAAACCAAGACGTACAGAGTTGGAAGCCATGTTACTTTGTGGTGAATCAGCGTTTGTCAAAAAGTTCACTTATCATTACATGACATATATATTTGTTGCAGTACAAGCCGCTGGTTACATCAGGCTCAGATTTAAGAAATTTTCTCGTGTGCACTCTCGTGAGCGTCGAACATTGTCGTTGATAAAGAAATAATTTCTCGGTCTTTGTTATTGATTTGAGGAAAATGCGGCGTTGAAAGTTCTATATAGAAACATAAATGAATAAAAGGCCACTATTTCTGGGGAGAGGCCGGGGACGTGGCCGCGGAAACGAGCAAAACAGTACAAAGCCGACTGGACAAAATGTAGGTACACTTCCTTCCTCTTCAAAATGGGGAAATTCAAGTAGCGCTGTGGCTAATAATGGAAAGTCTCCCCAAAGAACTGAAGTGTCCAGAGAAAGACAGGAAAAGGCGAATAAAATAAAGGAATCTGCGAAAAAGTATTTGGAGAAATTGGACGACGAGTTTGAAGAGTCCTCGGAGGATGATGAAATCAACGACAGTGAAATATTGAACAAAACACTCCAGGACTACAGGAACACCTCACAAGGTATGAAGTTTAATGATATAGATATTTTTAAATTGAACGGTTGTGTTCGTAAATGTTAGAAGTTGCTGAGAAGGAAAAATTTTTAAAACACCGAAAAATGCACATATTTAATTTAGCACGTCCCCTCCATTCCCTACCCCTCCCCCCTCCTTTCTCCTTTTCATTCCTTGAAACATAACGGAGTGGCTGATTGAATAAGTTAGGCTGGCTTGTATTGTGGCAGCATTTGTACTCCCGTTGGGATTTCAGTAGGGTAGATGCAATATCTGAGGTCCAATGCCTGGACAAACCTGAATGGATCAAAAACTGTTGGCATACAGCAGCTTCATTAGCCACATTGGTTGCATTTTCGAGACGTTCAGCAAAAATGAAGAAATCTGGATGGTTTTTGACAGATACAATGTGCCATCTTCTCTTAAAGAAGATATGCCAAAAAAGAGGTAAATAGGCAAGAATCTGGGGTATAATCAAATCACTACTTTAAAACATATTGCCAAGGCTCTGATCAATGAAGAGACCTCTTTCACACACTAAGACCAAGATAATGCTGGTAGACTATCTAGCACAGAAGACCATCGAGTTTGCCCAGCCAAATGGAGGACAGGTAGTTGTAGTTACTGTAGGAGGTCAGAATGCATGGGAACAAGGGAAGATTTTTTATCTCCAGAGCAACTAAGAGTGGACAGATTCAGAGATTATTTTACATACCTTACATACTACAGCTAGAGTTACAACATTCTCTTGACACACAAATTTTCATCTTGGCTCTCAGACATTATTCAAGTCTTATCACCAGTACAGGCAGGAACCTTCAAGAAATTATTCTTCAGGCAATTTTTTGTGCAATAGGCCCTGAAATGGCAGCCGCCACCACCCCCCTCCCCCCCCACCTCCCAGCTTAAAGTGGAGCAGACAAGACTGGAAAGCTTTCATGAAAACTGAAATCATTATTGGTCTTCCTGAGCCTGGAGGTGCAGGTGTAATTCCCAGAGTTGAGATGATGGCTTCAATCAAGAAATTTGTGTATCAACTTTATCTCCCCAAAACAGAAATGTGAAAATATGCGTTATTATGAAGACAACAGTGTTAGTGACGATAATGAGAGTGATGAGGAAGAAGATGGTGATGAGGATGATTCTGATGTTTTGAATGGTTAGGTTTTGCAAAAAGACACTGCAAGTCCTAAGTCACTAAAAAATTTACTTAAGATTAAATCTTGAATGCCTGTGGCTCTCTGGAGTGCAACAACTAGTTTTCTTCTCAGAAATATTATCCTTAATAATTATGTCTGCTCACAGTTACTAAATGTGTGTTTAAGACATCAACAAGAACATAGATTTACATCTTTGGTTCTACTTTTCCTAAAATGAACAAAGTTGTGAGATGTTTTATATAGTAGCCTCATTTTCATGCAGGGTCTACAGGGGCATTTCTAAAACATCCCCTAAAAAGTGTTGTGAATAGGTTGCAAGAGTGGATACACGACTTTTCTGGATATTTAGGGTCCCCGAAAATATCTTGTGCCGTGGCATGTTTTCAGCAAGAAATTCCCACAGGAGTACAAACACTACCAGACTACAAGATAGCCTAACTTATTCAATCAGCCACTTTGTTATGTTTCAAGGAATGAAAAGAGAATGAAGGGGGAAGGGGTAGAGAATGGAAGGGAAGTGCTAAATTAAATATGTCTGTTTTTCTAGTGAAGTGGCTTGCTTTCAGCAAGAAATTCCCATGGGACTTGAATTATGTACATTTGCCCCTGGACTATTGATGAAGATGAGTAATGGTATTGTTTGGACAGGCTAAGTCACTCCTGAGCCAATTTTTCCAGCTCCATGAATGTTATCAAAAGGCTTTTCAACTGATTCTGCTGTTAAACTTAAGCGAAAATTTTTTTGTTTGGTAAACATGACAGTTAGGCTCCAAACTTTGGTTAGTTCCTATGTCCCAAGATCTTAGCAAACCAGTGATCCATGATAGAGTTTTTCTTGGTGAAACTAATTCAGCTAAGATAAGGGGACTATTTGTGTTCATTTACAAGGTTTTGTCCCTACTTATCAGGGAATATGCTGTATTTCTTCCTTGTAGATAATGAGGCAGACTTGGGCAAAACTGCCCAGTACTTGATTGATTCCTGCAAACCTGGCTCAACTGTGTGTTTAATATGCATTGCCTCCATCAAACATGTTGATGCTGTGAGTATAAGTTGAATATAATATATATCTTCTATCATGTATTCTTACTGGATTCTGCTATGTAACCCTTAAATTCCAAAGGTGCAATTTCATAATCCTTTCCCATCCAAATTAGACAAGATTATGCAGTGTTCTTTCAAGATAAAGTTGTTAGGGTTCTCAAAAGCCAGGGAGAAGGTGCCTCACTGCTTGAAGTAGATGGCTGACAATTTAACAATTCTCACGTGCATTAGCAATGTGGTATCCCTTGAGATGAAAAAACGTTTTGGTTCTATGTCTAGCTTCAACGTGAACACAAATCCAAGGCTAGTGCTGTCAAATTCTGTCCCATTCACTTTTGAATTTCCTTGAATAACACACTTTCGTTTATGGTTAAATAGACTGCTACTGATGCTCTCACAAGAAAAGAAAAATAGAATTGGCCTTTGCAATTGGTCCTAGACAAGGCATGAGGTCTTATAGGAATTTTGAATCTTCCTAAAAAATTGGTTCATTTCTCTGAGCAATAAATTTTAAATATTCCAGTTTTGGATGGCTTGCTGAAATATCTTTTCTCCTTAGATAAAGCTGCCAAATTAATGTTTGAAGAGACTCTCTCCTAAATGAGCGGGGGTTGTTTCTCTAGCCTTGCCTTATGTTTACTGTAATGTTTCCTACAAAATCAGCGGCAGTCGGTGCATTACGTGTTTTTTGGATGTAAACAGTCTCATTTAAATTATTGGAATCAGGCTGTCCTACTTGCGTCTAACCCGGCCTTTTATCTATAGCCGGTATAAGTTATACCTATAGTGCAAAGTATAAACCATAGTTGTACCTATAGTGTAAGAACAAATGGAATATTTTAAATGTAATATTTGAATGGTGAATCGTAGAATTTCTTCTCAGAATAATTGACGCAATTGAAATTTTCACCCAAATCGAAGCAAAATTGAGAATATTGTTAATTAAGAGATGTCTTCATCGCTTAGTAAGGCGTCCTTGGGAATCTCATTCTGCGAAAACGAACCTCGTTTTCTAATTACCCTAAAACATATGCTTTTTAGTCTTTAAGAAGTTATTAATGCATAGTTATTGAAAGAAAGCGACAACCATTCATAAAATTCTGCGAAATCCGAAGTTAGGGCCCGATTCCTCGGTTCGTACTTAAACTTCTTTCTTAAGGACAACACTTGTCAATAAGCTTAGAACTCGGCTACTTTCAATGCGGTACTTGAATGTAAATATTTGTGTTCTTGAGAAGATCCTGCAAGGCTGTCTAAATATTCTTGAATCAGCGTGAGATGCATAAAGGCTGCAAACTTATGTGCCTAAGGAAGTAAGATATATATTGAGAGCCAAAATGTTCCCTTCGGAGACATCCTTTAGTACAAATGTTTTTTTGCATTTAGGGCAGTTTGCTTCCAGCAAATTTCCAGTGAAATCCTTGATCGGTGAATCCACTCGGCATCTGGGACATTTCACGGTGTAATCATCTCGCTGAAGACTCGGCAAAGTTTCCATTAGCCATTTGGCACACTCGGATCCAGTTTCCTTGAGAGAGTTTTTTTCTTTTTCGTTTAGATCTTTTATTCTCCAGTAAACTTCATAAAACTTAAATCCAAGAACTTCTGCGTTCTGCACTTTAAAAAAGCCCTTGTCTCCCCAGTCGGCTCTCCAGGAATTCAACAGTCGCAAATATTCGCTGTTGAAACTGGTTAATACTACTGCGTGGCCGGACCTTTTGGGTTTTGGAGGACGTGCTGTTATATCGATCTCTTTCTTTGTCAAAATACCTTTTCCGTTAGTCTTGAAGAAATTTTTAAACCTATCCCACTCTTTACCGGTAAGCTTAAATGTTGCAATCACTGGTCTGCTCGAAGCGACTGCTTCCATGGCACCCTTGAGGTTAACTGGCTGGTAACGCAAACGGTACTTCCTGCACATTCTTTCCAGCGCTTCTCCTATACTGGAGGCTTCTTTTCCAAAATGGCCGATCATTTCATCTTTCAATTCGTCAAAAGTTGGGATTTTGCCTCGGCGACCATGAATTCGCTTCATGATCAAATGAAGCACTGTAGCAGATGCATGTGCATAGCAGGTGTTTCCTTCTTGCTCTTTTTGTGCTTTATAATCTCTTACTGACCGGTTTATGTAGACATCGAGGTCGACGTTTGCAAGCAAATCAGATAACGCCTCCTGATAACAGACGACGTCTCGAGCGAGGTCGCAAGCGTCTCCTAAGTGGTCAGGATGATTGACCTGCAGGAACAAACGTGTTTCATTGTTTTCAAAATCAATGGACCATTTACGTTTAACAAACATGGTGCGTGGTATCGACTGCGTGGTTATTGTTGAGCTCAGTGAGAACAGGAACTTTGAACCTGAGTCCCAGTTTGTGTTCATCTTACTGAACATTTGTTTGGGCTGAATCGTTTTGGATTCAGTGACAAAGCAGCCTACTACGGTCACACCTGCGTTCTCTAATCTTGTGGCCGCTTTCTTTATTGCCGCCGAATCGTTCTTTCCTCCATCCGTGGGAACTCCGTCTGATAAGACAAACAACAGCTTTTTGTGACTTTGAAACGTAGACGCGTGTTTTTCAAAAAACTTAGTCGCCGTACGGATTGCTTGATACAAGGGAGTCGTGCCGTAGATGTAGGGTTCTACTTTCTGTAATAATTCTCGGCTCCTTTCTTTGGTTAGTTCTCTTTCATCATTGATGTGACCATGTAATATATCTGAAGCTTTTTTAACATTGAAGATGCGAGGTTTGAAACTGAGCAACAACGGTTGGGCTTTTTCCAGTGCTTTTTGGATGTCTTCTTCTGTAGCTTCTCGTATGGCCGACCCCACACTTGCATACACGAGTTCGACTCCCGTTATAAGGGTGCTGAAAAGCTGTGCAGCTAAGGTTTGTCTAGGATAGTCTCGGCATTCTGATGGTAGACACTTTTGAACAAATATTTTAGGAAAATCTTCCTCAGACTCAGCCATTTCCAGAACTAAGCAAGCCTTTTGATATGTTAATACTTGTTGGACGACTTCCCTCCTTGCCCATTTGCGGATATATTTTGCACCGGCTCCCTCCAGTATTCGGAAAATCTTCTCTATCTGATCATCTGTGGCTTTCTGATCACATTTGGAAGCCTGAAGACACGTCAAGATATCTAATAATTGGTCGCCACCTCTAGCTCCAAAGGCCAAAGCAAATACAGAGTTATCAGGAGAGACGTCGTGTTTGATCAGGTTGTCGATAACTTGAAATATCGAACGAGCCCACAGTCCTCCATCTTCGTCAATTCCACTTCCCATGTTATCACGCATGGAACTGGAGACGTCAAGAAGGATTCCAATCAATGCTTTGGCCATGCCTCCTCGGTCTAAAAAGAATCGGATTTGTGAGAGAAATTTAAATGTAAAAGAGCGTAATGAATGAACTAGAATACCAAGTGCCTGCCCTATCATACCTATACCTTATTCGTTCTTAATTTCGCGGGTCTTAATTTCTCGTTTTTTGCGATTGTAAAAGAAATGCGAAATTTAAGACCCGCGAATGAAAATCCTCCCGAAATTTACCACGCAAAGTTTAATCCACTATCGAAAATTCGCCATTGTGATTGCATCGATCGTTGCGATGTTTATTGTCTTTACACGGCTGTTTCGACATTTACTAAATTGAAATAGACTTCGAATATTTCAGATTGACGAGGAGCAGCGAGATCACGAAGAGTTTTTGAGTGACAGAACAAGCTGTTGACATGGAAATTTCCACGGAAACATGTACCTATTACATAAAAATTGTTAATTTACAGCATTACTTCTTTCGTTTGAGGGTTTTTTTTCGGACGTTTCGGCAGCTACTCCAATTTCGGTCTTTTTGTTATAGTCGTTTTGTTTTGTTGTTTTTCTATGCAAACGTAACTGTGTTGATGGTAAAAGTGAAGTATGATCGGTTTCTACAAGTTGTTGCCGAGCACGTGACCATAATCTGGCCGGTGTTGTTTTGATCACTTGACGATCTGTTTTTGCTCAAAACACACGACGACTTCCTATTTCAAGGAATGCTTTTCCAATCAATTTCTATCGCATCCGTGTAAAAAAATACAAGCATATGCGTGTACTGAAAAACAAAAGGGAAATTCAAAACTACGAGAAATTGAGAGTAATCGGCCTCCACTGCTACACGTGGGTTTTTTTTAGTGTAACATGCGTGTTTCCCCTAAGTTACAAGCACTTTACACACGTGGGAATGCTGCAGTCACGGTATAAGCAGTGCAAGGCAGAATGGTTATTGTCAACCTGGAGTGATTATGTGCAATATTTTGCTTCATTACTCTTCTGCCACTTAAATATTAATTCAGAGAAGGGGAAGGGGGGGGTGAGGGTTAAAATTCCTAGAGATAGGCTAACAATGTGCCGCTGGATAGGGTCGCATTTTCAGCTTTTTTCAATAGAGTTACCAGAGTGGGGCTACACATTTTTGAGATTTCAGGCGCAAGTAAATTATGGCAAGTAAGGATTCATAAACCGGAAGATTCATAATAACAAAGTTTGTTACCGTATTTTAATATTTAATAAACGGCTCACATTCCATTCCGGTCTTGCCCAAAAGCGGACAAAGATGGGGTCTATAATTGGCCACATTATAGACCAAAATACGGCAGAGATTCTGATAAGCTAGCTGCACATACCCAGCAAAAAATGACCCATGTACCCCCCCCCCCATCACACACTCAGGTACGATAATTTCTATACTTGCAATGGTATCTTTTTTTTAACACCTTAATTTACTGATAGCAACTTTACAAGTATATATCTCTTTAATACTTCATCCACGAGTTGGCCACAGGCACCCTTTGATTTTCATATTTACCTATCTGAAATCGCAAAATTAAAACCTCAGAAATACTTTCGCGCCAAAATCGCGAAATTAAGCGCCAATAAGGTACTCGTTGCGTTGCTTTGGAATATGTTTTATTCGTAGAAGGCACCAAACGCTCGGCCTCCCATTTCTGGGAAAATTATTGAATTGCAAATTCAGTGGATGCTTGGCTAGAGATTTATAGTATCTACTTTCTTTTATTTCTTTGCTACCTATCAAAGATTTCGCGTGGATGAACTTGTTTTTCTGATCCTATTGGCTTGAGCAAGCTGTTTAATGTTTTCTGATAACTTTGGTCAAACTCTGACATGTTGGAGAGTAAATATACTTCTGCTTTCGCTTTCATTGTTGAGTTAGCTCAGGCGGAAGGAGCGTATTTGATTCCCTTGATTGCCTGCTATAGGTTTCGCCAAGAACATCAATTTAGCTTCATGAAAAGCAAGAGATAGCAGTTCTTGTGAGACCGATAGCACCTCGAGATTTTCGAGAGTTTTCTCGTTGACTTTTACTTCTACAACACGAGTTTTACTTAGAATAGATGATACTGTTCCGTTTCACGCCATATTTCGAGCGATTTCGAATTTAGTCAGAGCATACCAACTCAAATTTCGGTTTTACATGTGAAAAAACGTAGCCAATAACCCCATATCCTTTCAGAGTACTTGTATTTGTTTCAAGTAGGAAATTAATAGTCAGAGTAGTATAACAACCAATAAAGGCGGTAAGTTACTAAAGAAAGCCCTTCGTCAGAGCGAATGACAATCAATAACTTACCTTAGAGTTTTGGAGGATCACAGAGAGGTTGACTGTACATTGAAACAAACAATGACAGCGTGGATTGGTCGTTAGAGGGCTGCAGGAGACAGAAGAAGCACTCAAACACTTTCAATTTGAATACTCGTTCCAAGTTATCTAATGTTCTGTAAGATCCTATGACTGATAAAGAAACTCAAGCCAACTGCTTGTAACATGACAACAATGGGCTTGTCAGATATACTTCATTCAACCGTATTGGAGTGCGCCCGCACAGTTCTCTTATTAGCATATTGTCCAGTCTTAAGAATGTTCGAGATGACTTTTCTGGTTTTAATACTGTTATTTTTTTCGCGCTGGTGAGGATCTGTAGGAATCGAAGTAAGACAAGAAATAAAAAAAAATTGTAAGGAACTCTTTACGGGAGTTAAACTCATACTTGTATGAAACTTGCCAAGAAAATAGCGTTCATAGTCTTTTACATAACAACAAGAAAAACGGAACAGTTGGCGCCAGGGGGACGGACCTAAAGCTAATTATTTCTGATGTGTTAACTAAATTGAATTTATTTTCTAGGAATGACGCAGCCCTCAGGGCTTCAACGATGTGATTCGCGCCATAGGATCCAAAAAATAAGTTTCAGCTTTAATTTGGAAACCTATCTTTCCAATTACGTTCAGTTAGATATCTTTTAGTTTTAGTAGTAGGTTAAAGAAAATCTTAAAGTAAAACCAGGCCAACAACATTTGTGCTCGAATAAGCGATTTGCTAATTTTGCTTCTCCTAGTAGTTAATAATGTCAGCGAAGGTTCGCCGTGGGATATTTGACATTAATGTTCTCTTAAAAAGAAAACAAAATCATGCGGTAACTATGGTGACGAACATCAAACAGAGACGCTGAAAAGGCAATTAACTTGTCATTCCGGTATAGATTGACATTCTAGGAATCTGGCTCAGTTAACTGCTTTTGAAATTTCGCTAAATTCTTAAGAATTATATTTCGAGTAGCTTTAGTACTTAATACTCAACTCTCGTAAACTTAAGTCGGTACATTACGTGTTTATTGAAAAGTTAACAGTCTCATTTAAATTATTGGAATCAGGCTGTCCCGTCAAACTGTTTTCTTCTTGTCAAACTAACCGAAGAAAGCGGTCCGTGTGGATTCGTATGGATTTGCTTGAGCAAGATGTTTAATGTTTTTCTGAAAACCCCAGTGTGGTCAGACTCTGGCATGTTTGAAGGTCAATATACCGTTCTGCTTTCGCTCTCAGGGTTGAGTTAACTCAGGCGGAAATACACCAAAGCGTCTTTGATTCCTTCAATTGTCCGTTATAGTTTTCGCACGGAACATAAATTTAGCTTCATGAAAAGCAAGCGATAGCAGTTCTTGTGAGACCGATAGCACCTCGAGATTTTCGATACTAGCCTTTTGTTCGCGGAGAATCGCTGCTCTTCGTTTCAAAGCGGATGGTTTTCTCGGTACAGGTAATGGAGATCGGGTAGCTTAAGAAATGTAATTATTTAACGCATCACTGTCTTTGCGTGAAATTATGTTTTAACCCGTATTACTTGTATAGAGGCTGGCATTGGGATTTTCACCACGCTCGAGGTCACCGAGAGAGCAGCTGAAATAACGCCCATACGAATGCCAAGTCCATGGCATTCATAAATACTGTAACGAAATTAGTGTAGTTATGGATCGATCAGGGTCTTAACAACTGGGACATGAAAATGTGGCGGTTTTGACAGTTTTGCATGCGGTTTTCGGTTTTGATCGAATTTTTTTTTTCGGTTTTTTGGTTTGTGGTGATTTTTTTCTACGATTTTGCGTCAGACAAGAGCACGTTAGAAGTTGAGATTCTTTTGCTTTTAGGGTCTACAATTGAATTTAACTCCCATCAATACGGAAGTGCACCGAAGCGTGTTCGATCTTCCCTAAGCACTCTATCTCGGCTGGAATGCGACATGTAATATTTACAGAGATCGAGGGCGATTTTTGTTCTAAGTAGGATATTATTAGATTGCGTAAAAGCTAAAAACATACCTATACGTTGGTAGAGATCGTTACAGAATCGTTACTTTCCTGCGTGACGTTAAAGGACTGTTCGAGACGGAGGAAGCACTCAAACACTATCGTGTGCTACCAGGACTAAAAAATAAACTAACGCCAACTCTTTGTGCACAATCGATCTGTCAGATTCATTGACCAATCATCTGTCATCTAACACATGTCAAGGAGAATATGCTTACGCAGGTTTCTTATTAACATATTTTCCAAAGCGATCTTTCTTCTCTGATCTTTTTACAGTCCTATTCAGGATCTGTTCTTACCAAAACAAGATGAGGAGTTAGAACTTACTCTTGATATAACGTTCATGAAGGAGGTAGCATCCGAAGACTGTTGTATGACAGCGAGACAAGCTGAATAGTTGGAAATGAAGAGACGGATTTAATGTACTGCCTTGCCTGAAATTATTTTAGTGTTTATTTAGATGATCTTTGGGAAAGTAGCTCACGGGGGTGTGGGTCGAGTGCGCAATGAGCGTGGGTTTTTCGGTCAATAAAATTCATGATGACGGACAAGATAGAGGAAAGACTGATAGGAAAGCATTTGACTCTATTGGCCTCGTCTCCCTCTTGCATGTACTGGAATATACCTTAAATAAATTTTTCATTTATATGTCAACTAATTTGTATTTTAACTCATTTGTGATATTTTATTGAAGAATGTCCGAGATAAATATTTAAGGGGTCAGTTCGAGCATGCGCAATCGGTGCATTTTAAACGAGAAGCTCGTAACTTCAAAAAATGGGTAACGAAAATAACTGGCAAAAATCGTAATGGTTTTCTAACTAGGCGAGGTTTTTATACTCCTAAAAACTGTAAAGATTAAATAAAGAAAACTTAAACACATCCCCTGATCTATAAATTTATGCAGGTCTCAATACCATATTTTCTGTCATTTTGTTTACAAGTAGCCAGAATCTTGAATTGTCTCGAATAAAAGAGCATTATTCAAAACGATCTAAAGCCAATTTTTTCTATGCAAAATACAATAGGAGAAATGTTGCTGATAACAGTCAGTTATGAGCTGCTCCCCAAAACTCCTTCGTTGCTTAATCATGTACAGTTCAACTGGAAAAAATGGGCAAATGAGAGGTTCTTTTTATGTGCAAAAACGGGATGTTTGTTTTTTAATCCTTCAGAAAACTTAAGAACTTCCTCCTTTGATAGATTTTTTTTTTTAATTAAAGGTATGGAGCTGCAGCCGGTGTTATTCAACTCTTCATCTGCAGTGCATTCAAAAGTGGGCCAGGGATGGAGCTGCTTATACTCAATTGACTTCAGATGATACTCTAAATCCTGCTGAGTTGCCGTGGTATTGGTATGTATAATGGATTTGCTTACAATAATGGACTTCTGAACTTTTACTCTGAGGCCTGAAATATGAGTTGGGTCCATTTTGTTGCTCTTTTATTCTAGTTTATTTTTCTTATATTATAATTTAATAACCAGCTGTTTTTTTTGTTCCAATAATTCAGCCCGAAATGCAGGTGTGAATTCAAGCAGTCTGAATGTCCCACAAAATATTATTGCTTTTGTGAAAAACAGGTATGGTAGCTAATTAAATCAGGAAATTTTTTAATTCGACAAGAGTCTTTTTGTGAGGTTGAGTTATGTATTTCCTCCATTCAGTGCCACACTTGCATGAATGCTGCCCTCTGTTAGATGGGGAGGATAGAGGCAAACTTGCTATTCAGTGTGGCTCCTTTAAATAAGTTCTATTTTCAATTAAAGGAATGTTTCATTTATAGGTAGATTATAATGAGGAGAAAAAAAATAATAAGACTGTACAGCTACAATTCAAGCATCACCTTAAATATTTATATCAAAATAGTGAGAATCGGAACACAAATAACACATTAATTACTGTCTAGGGCATATGTGTGGTTATTATAATTATTTACCATTTAATTTTAAATTAAAATTTAATTTTATGTCAATGATTTGAGAAAATTATGAAACATTGAATACTAACTTAAGATGAATATTGCCCTTGAATAATACTGCAGAGGCATAGCTGAAAGTTTGATAGATGGCCTGCAGCATTTTGTAGAATCCATGTGGTGCAGAGTAGCATTATTTTTAGAGTAAAGTCACATAATTATAGGCAAGGGGATGGTATAATTTCAGGTCAACCCATCTTTTGACCCCTGGTTGACACCACACTCTTGTGGCCAATCTTGTAGCAGACCTCTCAAGCCTGAGTGTGGACATGAATGCCTTCTTCTTTGTCATCCAGGTACAGTACAGATCAGTTAATCATTTTACCTAAAATAGTGTATAAGTTAGAGGATTGACAAAGAATGCTCTTTACTTTCATTTTGCAAGATTATCTTTTGAAAAATGATATATCAGTGATGATAATAGAGACCTATATATGCAGTGGTATTCTTTATTATCTGTAGTGGAATGAATCATCAGGCTTATTTCTATATAGCCATTGAGCCCATCCCTTCAGTGGAATGTAATGGTCAATTCAATAAAGGCAATGGTGAAGCATCAGCTTTAAGCAGATTTTTAAGGAAAAATAAATGAGAATTTAGTGTTATGTCAATTATGATATCCTCCAGCTGATAAGTTTGTCATTTCTCCTTATGTGCTCTTTGTATAATGCATTGAAGTTGTGTCAAGCAGTTAGAAATTGGTCACTTCACTCAAAGTGCTGTTCCATGTTGCATATACAGGTCCGTGTCCTCCTTGTCCAAAGACTGTCTTTGCATCCTGTCATTGTGGATCTCAGGCACCAGTGGTCAGACGCTGCAGCGCTAAATCTTGGTCGTGTGGAAAGCCTTGTGGAAAGTTACTTTCTTGTGGCCAGCACAGCTGTGAGTCCCCATGCCATGCTGGTAAGGAAACAGTTTGTTAGCCAAGTACATAGCATTTTCTCTTCTTTATTCCGTAAATTTGGAACTGTAAAGTTGTGGAATTGATTTCAATTGACTAAATCTGTTATAACTTGCTATTACAAGTTTTTCCTCCTCACATCGTAGGTGACTGTCTACCATGCCCCAAAGAGAGTGTGCAGAGCTGTCTGTGCGGTAAAATGACAAATAAAAGACCTTGTGCAAGTCCAGATTGGCAATGTGAACAGGTGATGTTTTGTCTCACTGATAATTAGGTTAAAAGTGAAAAAGCTCAAGAATGGATCTTATTTGAATATTGCTATTATTAACAATTTGCTACAATTAGTTTTTCAGCTTACTTTAGCAGTTGTACCTTTTTGTGACTGCTGAAATCTTTCAGGTTTGTAACAGAGTGTTGTCCTGTGGCCATCATAGATGTGAAAGACTGTGCCATGCAGATAAGTGTGGTGAATGCCCAAGAACAGGAGAAAGAAAATGTCCCTGTGGACAAACTTGTAAGTATTTTGTTTTTGTCAATTTTGTTTATTTTATTTTCCAAGAGGACAAGGTTTACTTTTTGACAAAATAGAATTGGTCCTGGTGAGCACCAAATTCCAAACGTGTGATGAAAACAGCCTTAAACTTATTTTTTTTATATATATATCAGCATGGTGAATAAGGGAGAAAATGTGTGATTCTCCTTCTAAGTTAAATAAGGCATTAACATGCTGAAGCTCTCTGTTGTCTCTTTCAGCTCTTTTGCTACCCTGCACAGAAGATGTTCCAACCTGTGGTGGCACTTGTGACAAGCCATTGGTTTGTGGCAGACATAAATGTGCTCAGCAGTGTCATACAGGGTCCTGTGGGGTTTGTCGACGGTTAGTTACCAAGACTTGCCGTTGTGGCAAGCGTGAGAAAAGTGTTTTGTGTTCCCAAGAGTTTCTGTGTGACATTAAGTGTCTGAAGATGAGGCAGTGTGAACGACATCCATGTAAACGGAAGGTGGGGTGTTAAACTGACTTTATAAGCAACAAAAAATGTTTCTGCAGCCTGATGGCTAAAATTGTATGCTCCTAATCAAAACTGTAACAAAATTCTCAAACGTGATTACTTATCACCAGCCCGATTTGAGCACAAATAGGACAGGGTATGCTTGATTGGTTATCACCAGCCCGATATGGGCACTAATAGGGCAGTGTATGCATCATGCTTGTAATTGGACAGAGTAATAGGACAGTTAAAGGGGCAGTTAACACGTCATGCCCGTATAAGTGGACTGAACGCATCTTGTGCGTGCACTGTTGACTCGCATTTTTCAGAGTTAACTGTTTTTCTAACGCAAACATGTAACAAATGTCTAGTTTCTCTCTCAAATTTTGTCATAGTTTTAATAAATTGGTAACAGGACTTTGTGTAGTCCAATTCTGTCTGTAATCATACTTAAAATACCATCATTAATTAATTGATGCTACTTATTCATTTATGTCTATGATTTGTTTGCAGTGTTGTGATGGAGGTTGCCCTCCATGTGAACAAACTTGTAATCGAAATCTGAACTGCAGGAACCATAAATGCCCATCACAATGTCACAGAGGTATTGCGCATTGTATCAAATTGATGTTTGTATGTCTTTGTTGCAGTGGTTGACCTAACACTTTGGTCAGCTTTATAAGATTTATTGGACAGTTATTTATTTCTTTATTCCTATATTCCCTCATATGTAGGACCATGTTACCCATGTCCCCTCCAGGTAGATGTGAAGTGTTTCTGTGGTTCTACAGTTCTTACAGTACCCTGTGGACGTGAAAAAGTTACCAAGCCACCTAAATGTGCTGAATTTTGCAGGTTAGGATGCGGCTCTTAATATGTGTTCTTTCTGATAACTTCTTTCTGAGGTTTTTGTTTCATCAATGCTTGTCCATTAATAAAAATATGAAAATCCAAGCTAAATGGAACCCCTCATGTATTTGCATGTTTTGATGGTTATTACCAGGATCAGAGGACTACCTACTTTTGTCAACATATATAATAGTCAATTACATTGCCTGTTGTTGTGTGACCTTGGGAAAGTGTGCCTTAATTCCCATATGTTTCTAGTCACCAGAGATATATCTTCAAATTGCTACGATTTCTGTCCTCTCTTTGAATTGCGATTTAACATTGGGATGAAATATTTCTTACTATATTGTAACAGAAACATTGTCTCTTACAGCCATCCTCCAGATTGTCATCACCCAAAACGCAAAGTAAGTTTTAGAAACCTATCTATCTATGAAAACAGTTGTAAAACTGTTTATGTCTGTTGTTATGGCAACAGGAAGTACAATGCGAATGTACTATTCTGTCACCGATTTGATCAGAATTTGATTTTAAACTGCAACATGTACTTTAGATCGAGAATGATGTTGTGATTAAATGGGTTTGTTAAGTTGTCTTTTTATGTTTGTCCTTCAGCGTCATCACTGTCATTATGGCTCCTGCCCTCCTTGCCACCAGCGCTGTGATCTGCCACTTCCTTGTGGGCACCCTTGTCCTGTCAGCTGCCATGACAACAAACGTGACCAATCAAAACTCTTAAAGGTTTTGTATGTTAGTTATGAATGTCATACTCATGATAAGACGATTGATTTCAATGAAATGATAATACCCATATGCCCTCTAGTGGTGTTGTCCTCAACTGTAGATGTTTTACAGTTGTCATTTTGTTTCTAGTCGTTTTCAAATGGATTCCCGGCTGTATCTAAATCAAATTCAGAGAGTACTAAGAAGGAACCAGTACCTTGTCCTCCATGTGTTGTTCCAGTTGAGATGTAAGTAGTGAAGAGCTCTGCCTGCATAGGAATCTTTTCAATTTCCCCGTTACCTCTTTCACTCTTCCCTCCTGCCTCTGTGCAACTCTGATTTCTTCTGTGTGGCTTAAAGCAAATGAAAGGACTGCTGTGTAGGCTAGTCAAGTGATAATTTGCAATTTTATCAATGTTTTTCCCTGTCATTATGACTTAATCAACCTGAGTTTATATTTATTGTTGTTGCCATTTTTAGGAGCTGCCTTGGCAAGCATGAGGTTTGTTTTCTAACCTTTCCATTTTGATGTTAATGTATCCTTAAAATTCACTCGTTAGGCAACTTCTGAACTGTACAGCTTGTATTTTTACAGCCTCCACCTAATTGTCCTTGTCAAGTTTGTTTTCTTTAACTTGTATTAAACTTCTTAAAAGTTTCTGTATCAATTTTTTTCTAGTAAGTTAACCTGTGTTAATTTTTCCCGCCCAGATCAGCTCTCTTGCTTGTTCTTCTGCAAAGCCATTTTCATGTGCTCGACCTTGTGGCCGTCAGCTTCATTGTGGAAACCACACTTGCCAACTGGAATGTCATGTTGTCACTGGTGTAGTTGATAATCAACAGGTAAACTTGTACTCAGATAATTACAACAACGTGTCTTTCTTGGTTCAAGCTGGTCATGGTTTCATGGGAACAGAAACTGTGTAGTGATGACACAGAAATCTAACTGAGTGGCTGTTCTTACAAAAAATTATGGTTTTGAAAAATTACTCTTTTGGTTTTGGTATTGATTTAGGCAGGTAAAGAATGCCAAGATTGTGAGGAAGCTTGCGAGAAACCTCGGCCAGAGGGATGCACACATCTTTGCCTTCTACCATGTCACATTGGTGAGCAAATGATCAATGAAAGTTTTTCTTGTATAAAAAAAATTCAACTATATCATGATTGTTATTACTTATGTCAAGAGTTCTTCAGGATGATCTTATTAAAATGAAGGTTCTTTTGCAAAAATTCACAATACTGTCTATTCTGGCTTAGTGCAACATGTAATTGTTTTTTCTCAATCACAGGAGATTGTCCAAAATGTAAGCAGATGGTGAAGCTTCCTTGTCATTGTGGCTTAATGCTGGTTTATGTGTCATGTAGGTAAGATACTGCATATGACATTATAAAGTTCATCGTGTTATTAATCTTTAATATGTGGTATGTATTTTTGAAGAAGGAGTTCAAAAACATTCTCCTTCTGGTGCTTTTTGTCTCTTAGTGAATTAACCTCAGTGGATGAACAAACTCGCAATAAACTAATGTCCTGTAAGAATCAGTGTCCAAAGAATCTAGTAGTCTGTGGTCACCGGTGTTCATCCAACTGTCATTACGGCCCCTGCCCATCCTCTGAGCTGTGCAATAGGAAGTCTTCTGTGAGGTGTCCTTGTCGCCGTAAAAAGAAGGTAAGTCTTCTGTATGGTCCAATGCAGAGTAAGTGGATAATAAAAGTAATGTGGCACTGTACTGGTATTGCTTTGCTTCACTCTTGTGTTATTGCAATAAGTCAGGTTCTAAATGTAAACCAAAGGTCATAACTTGGTCATTCTTCTGTTATGTTTTAAGGAGTTTTCTGCTTACGAGTTCTCATTGGCTCCATTGTTTTGGATGATTGATTTTGTTAAACAACGGTGAATCAAAATGAACTTAAGTGTGCTTTGAGACTGTTTAGCTTGACAAGCCATGATTAAACTGTGGTGTTTCTTTTCTGCATCCAGGATTTTCCCTGCCGCATGGTGCAGAAAGGTGAAGCTAAGTTACTTTGTGATGAAGAGTGTGAAACATTTAAAGCTAAACAAAAGAAATTGTTGAGTGAAGAAGATGAGATGAGGAAAAAAGGAGAACTTAAAGCACAACAGGTAACTTGAACTCAACTTTCATCATTCAGAACCCTTCAAACAAGCAATATGAACTCTCTTTTCTACCCACAATCTTTCACTTTGCGCAGAGAAATCATTTTAAATACTAGTTCTTAGAACCGACGATTCTTGAAGATTTTTAAAGTACAGTTAGCCTAAGAATTACTATATGGTAGGTAAAGGTGTAGTCTGCACTCGAGCAAAGTGGTCCATCCAGCCAGATCTTATCCAGGTTTCAATAGCATGAAGCAACTAGGATGGAAGGAGGAGTACTACTCCCTCCCTGAATGGGATGCTAGTCCATTTCAAGGTACCCTAACCCTAACCCTAACACACACACACACACCCCCCCCCCCCCAGCAGCATTTCATCAGGCTTCCCTGACAATTCGTCAGTACCCATTTCTACTCCTGAGTGGAGAGAGGCACTGTTTCCCAAGAACACAACACAATGACCTAACTGGGTTTGGAACTCTGATTTCTTGACCTGGTAAACAATGCACTTACCATTACACACTGTGTCTGCTACAATAACTATAATTTGCCATCTTGTTATTAACCTAGGAGGAGCTGGAGTGGTTTGAGAGGAAACAGCGAGGGAAGAAACGGCGTCCAAGGAAGCAAAAAGAAGAAATAATTGAGCCATCATGGTTCCGGCGTTACTGGTTCACTATTGTCATGTTTCTGGGGGCAGTAGTCTTGATGGCTGGACTCCTTCTTATTGCCGTGGACTAATTAAATTTAACGGGTACATTTGGATGGTGTACTATATCACAAGCCTGAGATTTTATTTAAGATAAAAAATAATAATTCAAGTAAACTATTCTTTCTTGGAACAATTTTTGAACACTTTATTACAAAGAGTACATGATATTATTTTTAATATCAAATAAACAGTGTACCATATAAAGTATTTACAAAGATAATGTATTTACATTTGTTCAATTTGAGGTATTTCTCGGAAAGAATAAATTGATTTTAAAGAGAGACTTTACAGACTTGTATGATTGCGTTTGTTTTGACCTTACTTTAGACTCGCAAAATCAGATCTACTTAGTCTTCTGTCATTATCAAAAACCTACCCACTTAATATACATATTCCGTTGAACCAAATTGTGATTTGGCAATGCTAACAGCACGTGATTTCTTTCGACCATCTTGTGTTGTTTCCTCTGAGTCAGTTTTGTTGGGTTCTTGGTGTTCAGCTACCTTTTCAAGAAATTCAGGTACTCTAGTGTTCTTTTTGTCTATAAAATCTTTGAATGCTTTAGCTCCATGCATGGTGGAAAGCTCAAAAGTATTGCTCTAAGTTGTAACATTGTAACAAGGTTTTTGACTGTGTGGTGTAGTTGTGCTGGTGCAACCTCTTTCCCAGTGTATCTCTCTCATACTCATAAGGTAATGAAGGAGAATAATCTAGCAGCGGAAGGGCGGGAAGAGAAGGAAATTTGTATTAAGGGGGTGAGCAATGGTCAAAAGGAAGGAGATTGGGTGAAACAATATAGAGAGTTAATGTTGTCTTGTTGTGTTGATGTTTACAGTTGGTGCCACAGTCTTACTAACTTCTGCTTTTCCTCTTGGACTCAGACAGTGTTTTATCCAGCTGTGCTTTAAGGTTCCCTTGGTATTCGTGCTCATGTCTGGACGAAAGATCACCGATTACCAAAAGGTAAGACAAGTTTCAATAGAGTGCAATTATTATTACCGTGAAATAGCTAGCTAACTAAATACTACTTAATAGCGCTAAGTTCTTTTTTTTCTATTCTTGGATTAGCACTATTTAGTACTAATTAGTTAGTCTATTTCATGGGTGTATTATTTGCACTCTATGATGTCAGTGATTAGTAGACTGGTTTTCAAAAACCCGTGAAATAATTAAAGCGTAGTAATGTGTATGTTACTATTAAATTGCATTGTTTAATATCCAAGTTGAAGTGTATTAAAGTGTATTACTGCAAAATATGTTAGTAATTATTTCGCGGGTTTATGAAGACCACTCTATCATGAGCTTCATAGATGTGATTATCACTTTCCAATCATAACGCAGATAATTATTTCTGAAATATTGTACTTTATAGGTACTAGAGAAGATAATCGAAATATTGCCAAGAGAACCAAGAGTCAAACGAGCGCTGCTTGATTTTGAAAAGTTGGTTCTGAAAGCCATTCCCAAAGTACTGCCAACAGTGAAACTATCCGGTTGTGGATTTCATTGGAGCCAGGCCGAATGGAGAAAGGTATGAAAGTGAGGTCTGAAAAAGGAAACAACAACAAGAAATCTGTTCTTACTTGTATTTTATTACCTCATCAGATCCAGTATTTGGGACTTCAGGCTGCCTACCATGAGCACAGACCGACCCAGATGTTCTCGAGGAAAGTCATCTTCCTTCCATATGTGCCCTCAGACGACGTTGAGGACATGTTTAACCGGCTCGTACAACAGGCTGACCGATCACCGCCCTACAAAACCTTTTTGAATAAGTGAGAAAAACATGGGAATATCCGCACCCACAGCGACATCGAGGGTTGGCACAATAGGATGAACCAAAGAGCCTCTTACCGCCATCAGCTGCAATTTTATCTGCTAGTGAAATTTCAGCACAGCAAAGCAATGCTGGCAGAGCTTCAAGTGGAACTTGTTAGTCAAGCTAAACTCACAAGAATTCAACGAAAACACTATCGTGACATGCAGTCAAAGATAATTAGGCTTTGGGATCGTTTTGATAATGACGAAATCGATTCGTATAGATAACTAAAGAAATGTTTAATTTTGACAGTGCCTCCGGTTTAATAGTTACTAGACAGCAAATGAATGTATCATTAATTATTGCAATAAAAATTCCATAATTGACATTACTTGAACTTTATCTATTTACGCAAAAAATTTTTTGAATAGGTCTTTAGTACGTTTTAATAACATGTGAAACAGTTTGCAGGTTTTTACTTTGACTTCGGAGGAGGGAGGACTGGTGACAATTACTTTCGAAATCAACATGGCGTCCTTAGTGTGGGTCGTTATGTTTGTAGTGGATGATGTACTGTCAAAACTAAAAAGTTTTTTGTTTAACAAAGGAAAAGTAATAGAAGTAATCGTTCGAATGGGGAGTTCTTTACATTTTCATAGAGAGAAAGATTTGTTCCTTTCTTCAAGTAAGAGTAGTGATCGTGTTCACAAGCGTTTCCATCTAGTCGGAGTTGTTACATAAAGAAATATCTAAGCTCTCGCCTTTGGATCTTATTGAAAGTGACATGTGACGGTGAAATATCTTATCAGTACAAATTAGAATGCCTTTTACATTGAGGTTTCTCACTAATAATTATTGTGCGAAATGACTATTAAGAATTGTGCGAACGGTCCAAAACTTGTGGGAAAAGACTTGTGCGAAAAGTCTTTGGTGCGAAATGTCCTGTATTCGTTTCATATTAAAGCTAACCTCTTTTCTCACTGGAACTGGCAAGTGTAAAAGTTTGCTCAGATCGATACAAATTCCCTAGAAAATACTAGCCCAGTTCAAAAAAAGCTTCTTTCAACCTGTTCTACCTGTTCATCTTACTTCACTAGTTTTCTCAAGTCAAATCTAATGTTTAATGCCTGCATTGTGCCTATTTCTTTCTATATGACATTTGCTGTTTTTTTGGTTTTTTTTTGTGCATGGATAAGTTGTTTTGCCTATGAAAAGTAGGGAAATATCCTTACTTTTGGTAAACCGTTCTTGGTTATTTTTTTCTGCCAAACTAAACTTGATCTAAATCTTTGAAGATTTTTCTTTTTAGGATCGTTAGTGTCGGTTGTTTATGCCAAAATGACGATTATTGTAATCATACCTGTCAACTAGTTTGAGCAAGCAGAATACCACTTGTAAATTAACTGAAACTGATATTAAATCGTTTTCACTCGGCGCCTTTGTTCAGGTTATCCTGTTATGGAGGTTGTGATATCTTCCCTCTAAAATAAGGAAAGGCTAAACATTTCTCTATCAGAGTAAAATGGATGACGAGAAGAATTTATGTGCTTGAAGCAGTGAGATAAATGTTGAGAGCCAAAATGTTTCCTTTGGTGACATTTTTCAGATTGAATTCCTTGTTACATTTGGGACACTTAGCACTTGACAAATTGCCAGTGAAATTCTTGACCGGTGAATCTTGCTTGCATCTGGGACAATTCACGGTGTAATCATCTCGCTGAAGACTCGGCAAAGTTTCCATCAGCCATTTGGCACGCTTGGATCCAAGTTCCTTGAAAGAGGTCTTTTCTTTTTCATTCAGATCTTCAGTTTCCCAGTAGACATCATAAAACCGAAATCCAAGAACATTTCCGTTCTGCACTTTAATGAAGCCATTGTCTGCCCAGTCGGATCCCCAGGAATCCAGCAGTCGCAAATATTTTCTGTTGAAACCGGTTAAAACTACTGCATGGTCGAATCTTTTGGGATTTGAAGGATGGGCTATATTTATCTCTTTCTTTGTCAAAATACCTTTGTCGTTAGTTATGAAGAACTCTTGAAACCTACCCCACTCATCGGGGTTAAGCCCAAATGTTGCAATCACTGGTCGGCTTGAGCGACTGCTTCCATGGCACCTTTGACGTCAACTGGCTTGTAACGCAAGTGGTACTTCTTGCACATTTCATCCAGTGCTTCTGTGATTCTGAAGGCTTCTTTCCCAAACTTGCCGATAATTTCATCTTTTAATTCGTTGAAAGTTGGAATGGGCTGTTGAAAGAAGTACCATCGAGTACCGTCATGGCCACCATATTTTCGCTTCATAGTCAAATGAAGCACAGTAGCAGATGCATGTGCATAGCAGGTGTATCCTTCTTGCTTTCCTTGTGCTTCATAATCTCTAACGGACTGGTTTATGTACACATCGAGGTCGACGTCTGCAAGCAAATCGGACAACACCTCTTGAGAACAGACGACATTTTGAGCCAGGTCGCAAGCGTCTCGCAGGAGGTCGGGATGATTGACCTGCAGGAACAAACGTGTTTCATTGTTCTTAACCTCAATGGACCAATCACGTTTAACAAACATGGTGCGTGGTATCGACTGCGTGGTAAATATTGAGCTCAGTGAGAACAGGAACTGTGCACCCTCTTGCCAGTCAGGTTTCATCTCACTGTACAGTTGTCTGGGCTCAATCGTTGTGGAGTCAGTGACAAAGCAGCTCACTACGTTCACCTCGGCATCCTTAAATCCTGAGACGGCTTCTGATTTTCTCCAGTGATCATCAATAGCTCCGTCTCCAGGCATTCCGTCTGATAGGACAAATAGGACCTTTTTATAACTTGAAACCTCACTGGTTCTCATAAGGTTTGTGGCCCTTTCAATTGACTCATACAAAGGCTTTCCACCGTAGATGTAGGGCTCGATTCTTCGTAATAATTCTTGACTCCTTTCCTTGGAGAGTTCTTCTTCATCGAAACATCCATGTAAAATATCTGAGGCTTTGCGCACATTGAAAATGGAATCTTCTCCTACACTTTTCTTCATCAGATGTGGTGCAGCCTTGTCAATTACATCTTTGACGTCTTCTGTTGTAGCTCTTTTAAACGTCGTCATGGCAGAGGTAGCCACTGTTTCTACGAGGCCTAGAAGTGGATTATCCTCTGTATGCCAATCGCGGCAAGCTGATGGCAGAAACTCCATGACGAATTTACGTGCAAATGACTGGTCAGACTGACATTTTCTTAGTAACAAATCAGCCGTGTAATCCGGTACTACTTTTCTGGCGACTTCCACGTCTAACCATTCGCGGATGTAATCGGCACCGGCGTCCTTCAGTATTTCAAAAATTTCGTTTAAGTGGCCGCGTGTGACGGGCTTGTCATTTCTATCGAAAGCTCGGTTATGAAGGTGAATACGTTGAAGGGTTCCCAGGATGTCGAATATTTGCTCACCTTCGTTAGCCCCGAAGCCAACAGCAAAAACGTGGTTGTCAGTGGAAACATCGTATTTGATAAGGTTGTTAATGACCTCAAAGATCGAACGAGCCCACGGTTCTCCGTTTTCATCAATACCACTTCCAATGCTACGCTCCATGGATCCGGAGACATCAAGTAGGATTCCAATTAATGCGGGCATGTTTCCTTTGTCTGCAATTATAATTATAAAAAACTGCTTGACATACTGGTTTACAAAAATACCAGTGAACTAAACTTTCATATTGATTATACTATCACGTGATTATTGACCAACCTCGTGGAGATTTAGCGTGAGATTACTTAGAATCGAACTTAGAAATATTTTTTATCTTTAATTGTAACTATATAAGCGACTTCACGAATTCTGGCGCCCTGTCTTTTTCACAAACTGTTTATCAGGATTTGTGTCTGTTTAGTATTCTATTATAGGGGACAGTAGATCAATATTTTTTCTTTTTTCCATGTTAGTAATAGTCATTGTAAAAAACCACAGTTAACTGCGGAAAGATAAAATTCACACAAAGCATAAATCAAACTTCATGAAAAGGAAGCAATAGCAGTTCTTGTAAGACCGATAGCACCTCGAGGTTTTCTATACTAGCCTTTTGTTCGCTAAAAATCAATCCCCTGCGTTTCAAAGCGGATGGTTTTCTCAGCACTAGAGGTCGGGTTGCTGAGGAAATGTAATCATTTGACGAGTCACTAGCTATGTCTGCATGAATTTATGTTTAGCCTGTATTACTCCTATCAGCTCCCTTCCAAAGACTTGGGAAGTGGATTGAATCCTTTTTTCATCGGGTCGTGTTAAAGATGTCGTGCCGAAGATTCTCAAAGTACGCTATTGACATCATTTTAATGTATTCACACTCTATAATTTCCTTCTCTGATGCCTTTTGGCCTAGAAATCTGAGTTGTGCGGTTCAAGAACCGCTCGTCAGACAAGAGCACGTTAGAAGTTAGGATTCTTTCGCTTTTGAGGTCTACATTTGAATTTGACTTCTATCAATACAGAAGCGCACTAAAGCGTATTCGATTTCCCTAAATACTCCGTATCTCGACTAGAACGCGACATATAATGGACTTCGACCAGTTTCGCTGCTTTTCGGCCGAGTGATGTATTCAAAGTGGTCACACTGTATTCTTGTCAATCTAACCGAAGAAAGCGGTCCGTATGGATTAACAGTGGTCGATGTGTTGTTTTGGAATGATGTTTTATTCGTAGAAGGCACGAAACGCGCGTATGTCCATTTCTAGGGAAATTATTGCAAATTTGGTGGATGCTTAGCAAGAGATTCATAATTTCTACTTTTGTTTGATTTCTTTGCTACTTATCGAAGATTTCGACTGGAAGAACTTGTTTTTATGATCCTTTTCGCTTGAGCAAGCTGTTTAATGTTTTTCTGATAGCCTTTTGTCGGACTCTGGCATGTTTGAAGGTAAATATACTTCTGCTTTCGCTTTTTTTAGGCGGAAGTTGACCAAAGCGTATTTGATTCCCTCGATTGTCTGCTATAGTTTTCGCCAAGGACATAAATTTAGCTTTGTGAAAAGCAAGCGGTAGCTGTTCTTGTGAGACCGATAACACCTTGAGATTTTCGAGTTTTCTCGACGACTTCTACAAAGCGAATGTTTCTTAGAATAAATGGAACTATTCCATTACACGTCACATTTCACACAAAACAAACCAACTCAAATTTCGGTTTTATATGTTAAAACACGTAGCCAATAACCCCATATCCTTTCAGGGTAATTGTATTTGTTTGAAGGAAGAAATTAGTAGTCAGAGTAGTATAACAGTCAATAAAGAGGGTAAGTTACTGAAGAAAGCTCTTCGTCTGAGCGAATAACAATTAATGGCTTACCTTAGAGTTTTGAAAGATTACAGAGAGGTAGACTGTATATGAAAACAAACAATGACAGCGTGGATTGGTCGTTAGAGGGCTGCAGGAGACAGAAGAAGCACTCAAACACTTTCAATTTGAATACTCGTTCCAAGTTATCTAATGTTCTGTAAGTTCCTATGACTGATAAAGAAACTCAAGCCAACTGCTTGTAACATGACAACAATGGGCTTGTCAGATATACTTCATTCAACCGTATTGGAATACGCCCGTACAGTTCTCTTATTAGCATATTTTCCAGTCTTAAGAATGTTCGAGATGACTTTTCTGGTTTTAATACTGTTATTTTTTTCGCGCTGGTGAGGATCTGTAGGAATCGAAGTAGGACAAGAAATAAAAAAAAAGTTGTAAGGAACTCTTTACGGGAGTTAAACTCATACTTTTATGAAACTTGCCAAGAAAATAGCGTTCATAGTCTTTTACATAACAACAAGAAAAACGGAACAGTTGGCGTCAGGGGGACGGACCTAAAGCTTATTTTTTTCTGATTTGTTAACTAAATTGAATTTATTTTCTAGGAATGACGCAGCCCTCAGGGCTTCAACGATGTGATTAATGCCATAGGATCCAAAAAATAAGTTTCAGCTTTAATTTGGAAACCTATCTTTCCAATTACGTTCAGTTAGATATCTTTTAGTTTTAGAAGTAGGTTAAAGAAAATCTTAAAGAAAAACCAGGCCAACAACATTTGTGCTCGAATAAGCGATTTGCTAATTTTGCTTCTCCTAGTAGCTAATAATGTCAGCGAAGGTTCGCCTTGGGATATTTGACACCAATGTTCTCTTAAAAAGAAAACAAAATCATGCGGTAACTATGGTGACGAACATCAAACATAGACGATGAAAAGGCAATTAACTTGTCATTCCGGTATAGATTGACATTCTAGGAATCTGACTCAGCCAACTGCTTCCGAAATTTCGCTAACTTCCTAAGAATTATATTTCGAGTAGCTTTAGTACTTAATACTCAACTCTCGTAAACTTAAGTCGGTACATTACGTGTTTATTGAAAAGTTAACAGTCTCATTTAAATTATTGGAATCAGGCTGTCCCGCTCACGTCTAAACCGGCCTTTCCGTTATCTAAAAGCCGGTATAAAAGTCATACCTACAGTGTATAGTATATTCCATAGTTGTACCTACAGTGTAAGAACAAATGAAAAGTTTTAATGTAATATTTGAATGGTGAATTGTAGAATTTTTCTCACAAGAATTGACGTAATCATTGCGCAAAAATTTCAAACATTGAAATTTTCACCCAGATTGAAACTAAATTGAGCATGGTGTTTATTACAAGATGTCTTCATCCTTTGGTAAAGCGTCCTTGGGTATCTCATTCCGCAAAAACTAACCTCTTTTTCTAATTACCCTTAATCATATGCTTTTTAGCCTATATTGATATTTGTAGTTTTCAAGAACTATTCATAAATTTCTGCGAAATCTGAAGTTAAGACCTGATTCCTCGGTTCGTGCTAAAACTTCTTTCTTTAGGACACCTCTTGTCAATCAGCTAAGATGTCGGCTACTTTTGATTCGATACTTGAATATACCTATTTGTGCCATGGAGGAGATCCTCTCCTCGTGCTAAGATGTCTAAATACTCTTGAATTAGCGTGAGATATATAAGGACTTAAAAGTTATTTGCTTAAGGAAGTAAGATATATATTGAGAGCCAAAATGTTCCCTTTGGGGACATCTTTTAGTTCAAATGCTTTTTTGCATTTAGGACACTTTGCTTGCAGCAAATTTCCAGTGAAATCCTTGACAGGTGAATCCACTCGGCATATGGGACATTTCACGGTGTAATCATCTCGCTGAAGACTCGGCAAAGTTTCCATTAGCCATTTGGCACGCTTGGATCCAAGTTCCTTGAAAGAGGTCTTTTCTTTTTCGTTCAGATCTTCAATTTCCCAGTAGACATCATAAAACTTAAATCCAAGAACATCTGCGTTCTGCACTTTAATGAAGCCGTTGTCTGCCCAGTCGGATCCCCTGGAATCCAACAGTCTCAAATATTCGCTGTTGAAACTGGTTAAAACTACTGCGTGGCCAAACCCTTTGGGATTTGAAGGACGGGCTACATTGATCTCTTTCTTTGTCAAAATACCTTTGCCGTTAGTTATGAAGAACTCTTTAAACCTATCCCACTCTTTGCGGGTAAGCTTAAATGTTGCAATCACTGGTCGGCTTGAAGCGACTGCTTCCATTGCACCTTTGACGTCAACTGGCTTGTAACGCAAGTGGTACTTCTTGCACATTTCATCCAGTACTTTTGTGATACTGTAGGCTTCTTTCCCAAACTTGCCGATCATTTCATCTTTTAATTCTTTGAAAGTTGGAATGCGCTGTTGTTGGTAGTGGCCACCATAAATTCGGTTCATAGTCAAATGAAGCACTGTAGCTGATGCATGTGCAAAGCAGGTGCATCCTTCTTGCTTTTCTTGTGCTTCATAATCTCTTACTGACTGGTTTATGTAGTCATCGAGGTCGACGTCTGCAAGCAAATCGGACAACACCTCTTGAGAACAGACGACATCTCGAGCCAGGTCGCAAGCGTCTCGCAGGTGGTCGGGATGATTGACCTGCAGGAACAAACGTGTTTCATTGTTTTTAACCTCAATGGACCAATCACGTTTAACAAACATGGTGCGTGGTATCGACTGCGTGGTGAATATTGAGCTCAGTGAGAACAGGAACTGTGCACCCTCATGCCAGTCAGGTTTCATCTCACTGTACAGTCGTCTGGGCTCAATCGTTGTGGAGTCAGTGACAAAGCAGCTCACTACGTTCACCTCGGCATCCTTCAATCCTGAGAAGGTTTCTGATTTTCTCCAGTGATCATCAATAGCTCCGTCTCCAGGCTTTCCGTCTGATAGGACAAATAGGACCTTTTCATGACTTGAAACCTCACTGGTTCTCATAAGGTTTGTGGCCCTTTCAATTGACTCATACAAAGGCGTTCCACCGTAGATGTAGGGCTCGATTCTTCGTAATAATTCTCGACTCCTTTCCTTTGAGAGTTCCTCTTCATCGAAACATCCATGTAAAATATCTGAGGCTTTGCGCACATTGAAAATGGAATCTTCTCCTACACTTCTCTTCATCAAATGTGGTGCAGCCTTGTCAATTACATCTTTGACGTCTTCTGTTGTAGCTCTTTTAAACGTCGTCACGACAGAGGTAGCCACTGTTTCTACGAGGCCTAGAAGTGGATTATCCTCTGTATGCCAATCACGGCAAGCTGGTGGTAGAAACTCCATGACGAATTTACGTGCAAATGACTGGTCAGACTGACATTTTCTTAGTAATAAATCAGCTGTGTAATCCGGTATTACGCTTCTGGCGACTTCCACGTCTAACCATTTGCGGATGTAACGGGCCCCGGCCTTCTCCAGTATTTTAAAAATTTCATTTAAGTGGCCGCGTGTGACGGGCTTGTCATTTCTATCGAAAGCTTGGTTATGAAGGTGAATACGTTCAAGGGTTCCCAGGATGTCGAATATTTGCTCACCTTCGTTAGCCCCGAAGCCAACAGCAAAAACGTGGTTGTCAGTGGAAACATCGTATTTGATAAGGTTGTCAATGACCTCAAAGATCGAACGAGCCCACGGTTCTCCGTTATCATCAATACCACTTCCAATGCTACGCTTCATGGATCCGGAGACATCAAGTAGGATTCCAATTAATGCGGGCATGTTTCCTTTGTCTGCAATTATAATTATAAGAATCGGCCTTGACATACTGGTTTACAAAAATACCAGTGAACTAAACTTTCGCATTGATTACACTATCACGTGATTATTGACCAACCCCGCGGAGATTTAGTATGAGATTATTTAGAATCGAACTTGGAAATATTTTTTTTCTTTAATTGTAACTATATAAGCGACTTCACGAATTCTGGCGCCCTGTCTTTTTCACAAACTGTTTATCAGGATTTGTGTCTGTTTAGTATTCTATTATAGGGGACAGTAGATCAATATTTTTCTTTTTTCCATGTTAGTAATAGTCATTGTACAAAACCACAGTTAACTGCGGAAAGATAAAATTCACACAAAGCATAAATCAAACTTCATGAAAAGGAAGCAATAGCAGTTCTTGTAAGACCGATAGCACCTCGAGGTTTTCTATACTAGCCTTTTGTTCGCTAAAAATCAATCCCCTGCGTTTCAAAGCGGATGGTTTTCTCAGCACTAGAGGTCGGGTTGCTGAGGAAATGTAATCATTTGACGAGTCACTAGCTATGTCTGCATGAATTTATGTTTAGCCTGCATTAATACTATCAGCTCCCTTCCAAAGACTTGGGAAGTGGATTGAATCCTTTTTTCATCGGGTCGTGTTAAAGATGTCGTGCCGAAGATTCTCAAAGTACGCTATTGACATCATTTTAATGTATTCACACTCTATAATTTCCTTCTCTGATGCCTTTTGGCCTAGAAATCTGAGTTGTGCGGTTCAAGAACCGCTCGTCGGACAAGAGCATGTTAGAAGTTAGGATTCTTTCGCTTTTGAGGTCTACATTTGAGTTTGACTACTATCAATACAGAAGTGCACTAAAGCGTATTCGATTTTTCCCAAATACTCCGTATCTCGGCTGGAGGGCGACACACAATGGAAATGGGTCCACAAACTACGACCAGTTTCGCTGCTTTCCGACCGAGTAATGTAATCAAAATGGTCACACTGTATTCTTCTTGTCAAACTAACCGAAGAAAGCGGTCCGTATGGATTAACGGTGGTCGATGCGTTTTTTTGGAATATGTTTTTTTCGTAGAAGGCACCAAACGCTCATATGTCCATTTCTGGGAAAGTTATTGCAAATTTGGTGGATGCTTAGCAAGAGGTTCGTAATGTCTACTTTTGTTTGATTTCTTCGCTACTTATCGAAGATTTCGACTGGAAGAACTTGTATCTATGATCCTTTTCGGTGAGCAAGCTGTTTGATGTTTTTCTGATAACTCTTCGTCAGACTCTGGCATGTTTGAAGGTAAATATACCTCTGCTTTCGCTTTCAGGGTTGGGTTAACTTAGGCGGAAGTAGACCAAAGCGTATTTGAATCCCTCGATTGTCGGCTATAGTTTTCGCCTAGAACATAAATTTAGCTTTATGAAAAGCAAGCGGTAGCAGTTCTTGTGAGACCGATAACACTTTAAGATTTTCGAGTTTTCTCGACGACTTCTACAAAGCGAGTTTTTCTTACAATAAATGGAACTATTCCATTACACGTCATATTTCACACAAAACATACCAACTCAAATTTCGGTTTTATATGTTAAAACACGTAGCCAATAACCCCATATCCTTTCAGGGTAATTGTATTTGTTTGAAGGAGGAAATTAGTAGTCAGAGTAGTATAACAGTCAATAAAGGGGGAAGTTACTGAAGAAAGCTCTTCGTCAGAGCGAATAACAATTAATGGCTAATCTTAGAGTTTTGGAAGATTACAGAGAGGTGGACTGCATATGAAAACAAACAATGACAGCGTGGATTGGTCGTTAGAGGGCTGCAGGAGACAGAAGCACTGAAACACTTGAATTTGAATACTCGTTCAAAGTTATCTAACGTTCTACAAGTTCCTTAGACTGATAAAGAAACTAAGGCCAGCTTCTTTTAACAGGATCTGTAGAAAGGTGAGGATCTGTAGAAATCGAAGTAAGACAAGAGATAAAAAAAATTGTAAGGAACTCTTTAGGGGAGTTAGATTCATACTTACATAAAACTTGCCAAGAAAATAGCGTTCATAGACTTTTACATAACAACAAGAAAAACGGAACAGTTGGCGATAGAGGAACGGATCTAAAGCACTGTCCTTTGAAAATTATTTCTGAAGTGTTAACTAAGTTGAATTTATTTTCTAGGAATGACGCAGCCCTCAGGGCTTCAACGATGTGATTCGCGCCATAGGGGTCCAAAAAATATATTTCAGCTTTAATTTGGAAACCTATCTTTTCAATTCCGTTCAGTTAGATATCTTTTAGTTTTAGTAGTCGGTTAAAGAAAATCTTAAAGAAAAACCAGGCCCACAATATTTGTGCTCGAATAAGCAATGTGCTAATTTTGCTTCTCCTAGTAGCTAATAATGTCAGCGAAGGTTCGCCTTGGGATATTTGACACTAATACTCCTCAAAAAGAAAACAAAATCATGCCGTAACTATGGTGACGAATATCAAACATAGACGATGAAAAGGCAATAAACACGTCATTCCGGTATAGATTGACATTCAAGGAATCTGGCTCAGCCAACTGCTTCAGAAATTTCGCTGAATTCTTAAGAATTATATTTCGAGTAGCTTTAGTACTTAATACTCAACTCTCGTAAACTTAAGTCGGTACATTACGTGTTTAATTAGGTGTTAACAGTATCATTTAAATTATTGGAATCAAGCTGTCCCGCTTACGTCTAAACCGGCCTTTCAGTTATCTAAAGCCGGTATAAAAGTTATACCTACAGTGTATAGTATAATCCATAGTTGTACCTACAGTGTAAGAACAAATGGAAAGTTTTAATGTAATATTTGAATGGTGAATTGTAGAATTTTTCTCACAACAATTGACGCAATCATTGCGCAAAAATTTCAATGATTGAAATTTGTGCCCAGATCGAAGCTAAATTGAGAATTTTGTTTATTACAAGATGTCTTCATCCTTTGGTAAAGCGTCCTTGGGCATCTCATTCCGCAAAAACTAACCTCCTTTTCTAATTACCCTTAATCATATGCTTTTATATCTATATTGATGTTTTTAGTTTTCAAGAAGTTGTTAATGCATAGTTATTGAAAGACAGCAACAACTATTCATAAATTTTTGCGAAATCTGAAGTTAGGACCTGATTCCTCGGTTCGTGCTAAAACTTCTTTCTCCAGGACACCACTTGTCAATCAGCTAAGATGTTGGCTACTTTTAATTCGTTACTTGAATATACCTATTTGTGCCATGGAGGAGATCCCCTCCTCGCACAAGGATGTCTAAATACTCTTGAATTAACGTGAGATACATAAGGGCTCAAACGTTATTTGCTTAAGGAAGTAAGATATATATTGAGAGCCAAAATGTTCCCTTTAGGGACATCTTTTAGTTCAAATGCTTTTTTGCATTTAGGACACTTTGCTTGTAGCAAATGGTTAACGAGGAAAATTTGTGTTCTTAAAGTAGTGAGATAAATATTGAGAGCCAAAATATTTCCATCGCGGACATTTTTCAGATAGAATTCCGCGTCACATTTGGGACACTTAGCACTTGACAAATTCCCAGTTAATTTCTTGACAGGTGAATCTTGCTGGCATATGGGACATTTTACGGTGTAATCATCTCGCTGAAGACTAGGCAAAGTTTCCATTAGCCATTTGGCACGCTTGGACCCAGGTTTCTTGAAAGAGGTCTTTTCTTTTTCGTTCAGATCTTCAATTTCCCAATAGACATCATAAAACTTACATCCAAGAACATCTGCGTTCTGCACTTTAATGAAGCCGTTGTCTGCCCAGTCGGATCCCCTGGAATCCAACAGTCTCAAATATTCGCTGTTGAAACTGGTTAATACTACTGCGTGGCCAAACCTTTTGGGATTTGATGGACGGGCTGTTATATCGATCTCTTTCTTTGTCAAAATACCTTTGCCGTTAGTTATGAAGAACTCTTTAAACCTATCCCACTCTTTGCGGGTAAGCTTAAATGTTGCAATCACTGGTCGGCTTGAAGCGACTGCTTCCATGGCACCCTTGAGGTCAACTGGCTTGTAACGCAAATGGTACTTCTTGCACATTTTTTTCAGTGCTGTTGTGATACTGAAGGCTTCTTTTCCAAACTGGCCGATCATTTCATCTTTTAATTCAACGAAAGTTGGAACATCGTTTTCGGGACCATGAATTCGCTTCATAGTCAAATGAAGCACTGTAGCAGATGCATGTGCATAGCAGGTGTGTCCTTCTTGCTTTTCTTGTGCTTCATAATCTCTTACTGATTGGTTTATGTAGACATCGAGGTCGCCGTGGGCACGAAAATCGGACAACACCTCTTGAGAACAGACGACATCTCGAGCCAGGTCGCAAGCGTCTCGCAGGTGGTCAGGATGATTGACCTGCAGGAACAAACGTGTTTCATTGTTTTTTACCTCAATGGACCAATCACGTTTTACAAACATGGTGCGTGGTATCGACTGCGTGGGTGTTATTGAGCTCAGTGAGAACAGGAACTTTGCACCTTGGTCCCAGTGTGTCTTCATCTCACTGTACAGTTGTCTGGGCTGAATCATCGTGGATTTAGTGAGAAAGCAGCCAACTACGGTCACACCTACGTTCTTTAATCTTGTGGCCGCTTTCTTTATTCTTGCCGAATCATTATCTCCTCCATCTGTGGGATCTCCGTCTGATAAGACAAACAACAGCTTTTTGTGACTTCGGAACGTAGACGCGTTTTTTTCAAAACACTTTGTCGCCGTACGGATTGCTTGATACAAGGGAGTCGCGCCGTAGATGTAGGGCTCTACTCTCTGTAATAATTCTCGGCTCCTTTCTTTAGAGAGTTCTCCTTCATCGATGTATCCATGTACTACATCTGAAGCTTCGTTAACATTGAGAATGCTGGGTTTGAAACTGACCAACAACGGTTGGGCCTTTGTCAGAGCTCCTTGGATGTCTTCTTCTTTAGCTTCTCGTATGGATGACCACACACTTGCATACGCGTGCTCGGCTCCTGTTGAAAGCTGTGCT